CACACACATATACACATTTGCATATACTTATACACATACGTATAGACCTATATATAAATATTTGACAAAAGATTGCATCGTGGCTTGCGTTTACAAATTCTCTTGAGACACGAGAGTAGTCACTAATCCACTGCGGTGACTCACTCTTTTCCCTATATGTATATGTCTTAGTAAACCCCAACAATTTCAGAAATCGTACTTACTTAATTGAATAATTGATTTCGAAATAACGTTTGTTATTATAGGATATTAGTGTTTATTTCTGTTCAATCATCGTAGAGTTGAATATTAGTTGAGAACAAAAAATGAAATCATACTTTTGTGAGAAAACGGTTTATTTATAAAGTAACTACAATAAGTTGAGAGAAAATTATTCTCTATCTACTCTGATTATTTCATACTAATAGTTTGATGATAGATATTCTTTAGAGTAGACTTTGGTGGTCAAAGGCTCAATGATTCGTCTCTTTACAAAGTCAAGATCTCGACCTGATTGACAGAATATTTACTTATATTCCTATTAATCATGCAGGTTTTTTTATCCTATGAATTAATGTGATTATTCATTTAAATAAGAAAAATCATTCCCTTCCCTTTTCTCCCAATGTGGTTCAATTATTCTCGCCCGTTAACAATTGAGGGAAATATTTGAAACGTGCTTTTGAATTTAGAACCTGCGAATAGTTCCTCACAAAAGGCCAAACCCTCTCTCTTCTAGTTCTAGATACTTTTTCTTAATCGAATTTTCCAAATTAAACTAAATAAAAGAGAGTTTTCGTATGGTTTATAAAGTTGATTAAGCGTGCAAACTATATTATAATGTCACGAGTATGATATGAATGGTGAGCCTTTAATAAGCACACGCTTAAGACATGATATACAGTTAGAATAAATTTCGTTCGACGATAAGCTTCTTTTGACATTCTGAAAATAAAAAATTATGTGGAAAAGGAAAATTCATTCCAAAATTCCAGCATACTGTCGCATATAATTAACAAATATTTTTTTTAACATCATAATTAATTAACAAATCCTAGATATAAAACTAGACCGTCAATTTTGGTGGCTTTGTTAAAATTTAAAGTTATGATAAACAGCTCTTTTCGTGTCATTATTATTACCCAAAATTGAGTGGATATTTGAAATGGGATTATAACAAATAAAGAAGCATCATCCATAATTTGACTGATGCATAGTTTAATATAAAAAGAAAAAGAACAAAATAAAGACATGAAAAGCAACATGTCTGGTTGGCCGTAGAGTCTGGGAGATGACAGAAAAAGGATCAGACAAATACAATCCCTTCTATCATTCATCCAACGTATTTTTCCATACATTTTATTTTAGTTTATTATAATAAAACTTCCCACTACTAATTTCAAACCAGCTTAAACCTGATTAAAACCGATAAAAACTGATCCTAATTCGCCCCATATGCTTCCACTTTCTCCTAAGCTAAATCATTGGTATTTAAATTAACCGAATAAAATATCTAAATGGCCGTAATGTGGGGGCTGAATCGGAATTAGATACTCTATCATACCAAATCATTGAAGGGACCTACATGTCTGGAGCTGACAGGTGTCGAACCTAACAGACAATTATACTGTTTTCGAGTTTCGTAATTGGTTTCTCTCTCTCGTGTTTGTGTGGATAAGCCTGTGACTGTGAGGGATCGCATGATGGATGGTGCCTAAGTGTTGATGACATGAGAACCACCACTTTCATTTTCTCTTAATCTTTTCCTACACCTATATTCCAATTTTCTTATTGATACTTTTTTGTTTTTTTGCTTATCAACAACGAAACGTATATTGATTTATTTGTTTGTTATTGCTGTAGTTGTGGATGAGGTTTGTTTTATCTTTCTCGTTGAGGTTTGCTTAATCCTAACCTAATATTTCTAAATTCTTTTCCAATCATCTAAAGTCTAAACCATCTAAAAAGGTATTACAAATTGTGGTCACACCGTTCTTTAAATTATTATTTTCTATGTACCATATTTTATTTCATAAAATAACATCTTTAACCCTTTCCCTTTGTCTTGATTCTCCCCTTCTTTTTTTCTCATACTTTTATTGGTTTAGTTTCCCCCACCCTTTTCAGAAGTCAACGTTTATCTATATTCCTGCCATTAGTTTTTATAATTGTGTTGTTTATAACTGAATGCCGATATAATTTTCTATAAATCTATGCCAACATTTGCTATATGATTTTGTATACGCAGCTAAATTTTTCATTTCTCTCATAAAACTTTATACATAAATACTTAATTTATCTTGTATCTATCTGAGTTTAGAATAATTTAATTTCTGTTACTATGTACCATATTTTAAATAACATGTTTCTCGTTATCTTTCGAGCTAAGATAATAATTAAGAAAAATCTAGTAAACTCTGGTCTTTGAATCTGATCTTTTTCCACGTCCTAATATTTTTTGTCGTATAATGTGATTATTTTGGTATAGTTACGCGTCACTGAACACGCTCCAAAAAAACAAAATGTGATAACATTTTAAATTAAAAAAAATAAGTAAGACGAATACAAAATCAATCATGACGTATCATTTATTGGGAAATCGCCTAGATCATTAAATTAAATTATCGGGTCAGTCCAGTTACAGTTTGTCTTCGTTCTTGCGTTGGAAATTTTTGATTTTTGGGTCATCGTAAGTCTTCGCTGAATAAATTTTTGGATCTTGTTAATCATTACTTATGATTTTTTTGTTTTTATAATGTTGACACCTCGAGTCTTAAGTACAACACTAGGCATAAATAAATTATTAAATAATAATATCGTGTAATCAATAAATACATGTGTGGTCGTGTTTATGAGTTTGCCACACCTTTCCGCTTAGGAGACTGGTATTGCCGTCGCGGACCGATGCTACGAGAAACACAGAGACTTTTATAATAGTTTATATCATACACGTATTATTTGTATGCGATTCAAAAGATTTTTAGCCCTCTCTTTAGATGAATTCGCAGCTCTTGCAAATGGTTAAAACTTACCGTTAATTGGAATACGTATCTATATCATCCACATTCTCAGAATATTCTAATGCTTCAATTATTTTTGTTCCAAACGACAAAATTGACCCTTTAAATAAAGTCGGGAAGATTTTTGTTATGGGAATTGCAATCTTTCCAGTCAAAAGACATCAACAAATTTATCAAAGAGACTTCTAACGCCCCCGACTAGTCGGTTTAGTTTATTAAAGTCACAAATAAGGCTAAACCCAATTAACCAGCGAAAGAGAATTCAACAGAATTGATACTTCCTCCAGTTCTCCGTCGTAGCCACGCATATGTTAGTTTGTAGATTATGGGTGACCTAACTTGGCTGAAAAGTGAAAATAAAAAAATCATAGCCAACGAAACGTGCCACGTCAACTTTCTTAGTTAAGTCCCTCAACCATCTTTTTATTTCCGTTTTGGCGAATCATATTCCACCACCACCACCATTATTATCAATCTTCCTCATGACTAATTTTTGGTAAAATTAAATTTCTTCCTTACAGTTATGTGTTAGATTGCTATGAAACGAGGTGATGTAAATTAAACCAAGCCTCGGTTTCTCTAGATAACTCTACGAAAAAGACATGCAAAGACAGAGATGATATCTTTATGGTCTCATACAATTAAATAATCGCATGATATATTACATGACCTATTTGTCTGTTCAACATACTATTTTTCTTTCAAATGGTATAAAAGCTCAAGGTATCCAAATTATGAAATTTCTAATAATCACACCATACTATAAAAACAAATAAAAAAAAACAGAGATGAAATAAAAATAGGTCGAAATAATTGGATAATTAAGTCCCAACACGATCTGACCAGATCAAGAAAACCGGACCTAAAGAAGAAAGTGGCGATCACAATCCAAAACCCAAATTAAACAATACAAGAAATTAGAAGAACCTAAAAGAGATTTAAAGGGACATTGTGTAGTGTGAGGAGGTTGAAGATTGGTAGGCAAGCTGACATGTTACCCATATCTGCCTTGTTCAAGCAAAGCATGGAGTGGGAGACAATTCATGTGGTCTCTTATTTAAAGTCCTCTCTTAATCACTCTCTAATTATTATACCCTCCTTCTCTCTTTATTATTTGTAAATGTTTATAAAATGTTGCGGTGGTATATTACGAGAATATCTTCACCCAAAAAAAAAACTAGTTAAAAAAAAAATCTCAGAGAACACTGAATCTTTGAAAAGAATGTATTGATTATTGAAGATGGGGATGGGAGATGGAGAAATTTTTGTCCATGTGCATGTAAGTGTATGTTACCGACTTTATTAGGATTTGTAGATATCCCGAGAAAGAAATTGTACTAACATTTTATCGAAGCAATACTCAAATAGAAATAAAACTACATTTTTTGTTTTGGAAATGCAAAAATTAATTCGGATCATTGGCCACCAACATAGCAAAATTTATAGAGAGAGTAATTAGCCTCATAGTCTACGTTTTGAAGATTAATCTAAGTTTTTATAAGAAATTTTAGGAAAGACCAAGTCTTATTTTCAAACCATGTTATACAAAAGTATGACGAAAAATATTCTGAGAGGGTATAATTTTGAATACGATAACTTTATGAAGTGAGGAGAATAGTTGCAAGTGGGGTGCTCATTTTGGTCAACCTTTGTAAGTGAGAAAATTAAAAGGAGAGAGAATTGTGCCATCATAATTTCCTACATTCCTTTTTCAAAAACTCGAATAAAAAAAGAACTAAGCAAAAATAAATCCATTCATTTTGATTAAAACTAATTATTAGCCACCCACCCACCCACCCAAAAAAAATTAAATTAAAGAAACAAAAACCTCTCGTCTCCTTCTTAAGAAGAGGCCTCTTGGCTTCATTTCGTCCCATTATTTCCAAACTTCACCAAAATCATTTCTTAACAAACTTCTTCTTTTTCTTAGTAAACCTCTTGAGATCTCGAAGGTTTGATCATAACAAGAGAAAATTTAAAAATCATTTTCTTTTTCTTCAGATGGGTTTTGATGATTCATGCAACACAGGTCTTGTTCTTGGTTTAGGCCTCTCACCAACGCCTAGTAATTATAATCATGCAACCAAGAAATCTTCCGCAACCGTCGACCACCGTATTGATCCGTCGCTGACACTAAGCCTCTCCGGTGAGAGTTACAAGACCAAGACTGTTGCCGGCGCCGGAGACCAGATTTTCCGGCAGGCTTCGTCTCACAGCGGAATCTCATCATTCTCGAGCGGAAGGGTAAAGAGAGAGAGGGAAATCTGCGGCGATGGCGAAGATGAGGCAGAGGAGACGACTGAGAGAGTAGTGTGTTCAAGAGTGAGTGACGATCATGAAGATGAAGAAGGTGTGAGTGCTCGTAAAAAGCTCAGACTCACTAAACAACAATCTGCTCTTCTTGAAGAAAGCTTCAAACTTCATAGCACCCTTAATCCCGTATGATAAGAGTTAATAATTTAATAAATCTCTTCTTATTAACGTTAATCATATCATTAATCCAATCGTTGATTTTGTTTAAATTCACAGAAGCAGAAACAAGCTCTTGCGAGGCAGCTAAGTCTAAGGCCTAGACAAGTTGAAGTGTGGTTCCAAAACAGGAGAGCTAGGTAATTATAATTTGATTATATTTTTAGAATTACTCCGTATACGTTATTTTTTGTTCTTATTATATAATACGAGTATATTTTTTTAATTTGGGCAGGACAAAACTAAAGCAGACAGAAGTGGATTGTGAGTTTTTGAAGAAATGTTGTGAGACGTTAACGGATGAGAATAGAAGGCTTCAAAAAGAGCTTCAAGATCTCAAGGCTTTAAAATTGGCTCCACCTTTTTACATGCACATGCCGGCGGCGACTTTAACGATGTGCCCTTCTTGTGAGAGACTCGGCAGCGGAGGCGGTGGTGGAAGTGGCGGAGGAGGCGGTGGAGGTACCGTTGGGATTGATGGAGGTACGGCGAAGGGAGCTTTCTCCATCGTCGCAAAGCCTCGCTTTTACAACCCTTTCGCTAATCCTTATGCAGCTTGTTAATTACTTATTAATTAATTGGTTTTTGGTTATGTTTTTTTTTTCTTTCTATATATCCATTTAGGAATTAGTTAGAAGGTAAATCCCAGGGAAAAATATAAAGTTGAAATTGTGGGGAAAATGGGGTATAGTCTTGATGAGATAAGACTCTTCAACGATTCCACTTTATTTTTCGGTGGGATTGTTGGTTGATGAAGAAAAAAATAGTTTGTAATTATAGTTTAAATTTGTAGAGAAAGAAGATATAATACCAGTTCTTACTAATCCATCTTCTTTTGTTATTATCTTCGTATATTATGCTTGTAAACATATTAATAATTATATTTATGAAATTTTGTACAACTTTGCAATGATTTATTTCGTCTTCCTTAACAAATGATTGTTCTTTCACGCGAATATAATATTCATTTATTATATTTCAATCGTCAACTTAGTTAATTTGGGTTTTGATTTTGTTCACACTTAAGTACAACGACGTAAGCCACTAAAAAGAATCTTCTTGATCCTTCCTTATTTCAATTGTTCTTAGACTGATTCTACTTACAGGAAGATTCGTGGATATATATGTAAAAGTATCCACTAAGATTTTACAATAAGAGAGTTTCTAAAATTTTCGTAATGAAATTAGCCAAGGGTCCATTATTCTTTAGTAATCGTTCATCTAAATGAGTCACTGGTGCCAATTTGGTTTTGTTTCCAACCGTAGAACCCAAAAATGGAAATATAATGGACTGAAATCAATTTCCCACCAAGAAATAAAACATTTATATAACTAAAAGATGGAGAATCTCAAAACTTAGAGAGGTAAAGGTAGTGGACGAAAAAAAGACTTGAAGAAGGTTAGATAATCCGGTAAGCCAAACCATTCCGTAATTTTTCGATAACTTCTAGTCGATAATTTTTTTTTCAGTCACACATTTATTAATTTTGGCTCCAGATACAATGATTTTATTTTGGGATTATCCAAAAGAAAAAAAAACTGAAAAAAATCATTTGATGGGTGTGAATGATTTTAAGTGGGAGAGATAAAGAGTGTGGGGCTAAGAGGTTAGCTCACGTGTATTGATACATCTCCTTAAACTTAGACCTTTTTAATTTTATAAGAAAAGAACTTAGACTTTAATTTATCTAACCAAATGATAACAATGATAAATAATTTGTACGAAATCTTTTGATTATATAACACTACAATGCAAAAACGTGTTCACATACGTTGTCAAATATTACCTATAAATACAACAATAGAAAACAAAAAACACCATCATCGAATACATAGCTTAATCGCAAAGAAAAGAATTACATATATCTACGGTTTATGAAAGAAAAAAACAATGCAAATAAAATTGTAACAATAAATAAAAGTTCTTGAAGATTTGAAGTAGCGAGATGCTCTATCTTTAAGGGTAAGGTGGGGCATGCTTCACGTGATTTTTCTCTTCATTTTTCTTCTCGCGACATGTTACAGATATGAGGGGTTAATTATATGACTATTCATATTACACACGTATATTCATTTTAAAGAAAATACATGATGAGTACATGACAACGAGGCGTATTTATTAACATTGTTATGAAAATGACAGCGAGATATATCGATAAAGTAATTTACTTGATTCATGAATCACTTTATAAAAATAAAAAATTGATGCATGAATCTTCCAAGTTCAGCACGTACAACGTACATATTAATATTACGGAAGCAATTTATCGAAGCCCATAACAAATAATTTAATGTTAAATTTATTGTTTGTTTGATCAAACTGTTGCTTATGTTGTTACTCTTGATTACATTTAACACTTCATAAAATCACTTAATCTCTTAATTTTTAGGTTGTGTAAAAGGACGTCGAAGTGTATGATCGATGCAGTTGTGATTAATCTCCATAAGTACTTATGTATGTATGTGGAAATATAAAGGTGTATATTGCTTTTCTTCGAGGAAATAAAAGAAAAATAGAGAGGTTTTGGTATGGAATAAAATGCATGCGTGATGATTGGGATGAGATGACGAGAGAGTCCACAAGAAAATCGTAAGATCGGTGACCCTGAAATTATGGTGGTGGACCATTTAATGATGAGATGACTTTCCGGGGAAATCGGTGACTTTCTCGGAAACTCACTTCTATTTTCACTGATTCATTTCCTTTTTTGTCCCCTTTTCTTCTTTTCTCTTTCACCCTTTAGTTTTATTTATAGATTTGATAGTTTTCATCCACATTGTGGATTACAGTTCTGGTTTTGCAACAATAATAACAGAGAAAAACCAAAATTTGATTTGCTTGCTTGTAGTCTTCAACCGATAAAGAAAAAAACAAGCGAGAACAAAAGATTTTATATTATTAAATCGGCGGCAATCGATGACTTACTAGTCGACAGGTGTTTTTTTTGTGTGAGTATGAGTGTATATTAAGATTAGTATTCTATGACATTATTAATTGTTATGCTTATGTAGGTGACTAATTATTTGCGATGTTTCTCTTAATGATTGATAGATTTGCTTTACGTGTGCACGAACGTAATTAGTGTATTAAGAACATCAGCGGACATGTGTCAGTTGCTGGTTAAATTGTCGGTTTGTCGAATTCTTGTTCCCGACTTTTTTGAAAACGCATTACTATTTTTTTAATCACTAAGCATGAATTTGGTAGAAGACTCCAAAAGAAATATTTTTTATTTATTTCTCGAATGTTAATTCGTTTCCTATAAAAAACAAACATAAATTAACATAACAACTCTCGTGTCATAGCTAAGCTTTTTACGCGTTATCTTACCAATATCAATATAATAGTATATATACATATACTTTTGCTTTACCTTTGTAAGTTTTTAATATGATTTTGAATTTTTGATTACATACAATTAGTCGTATGTTAAGTTGTTAATTAGTGGCCTTATGAAATTCTTCTTTTCGTTTCTTTTCTCAATAGGTCCCATTACCCGCTTAGTCCTATATAATTTAGTTTTTTTTTATGTCATTTTTAGCCGTAACTGGATTCGGACCAATGTAGGGAGTGTTTAGAAATACCACTAGACTAGAAGAAGACAAAAGATAAATAAAAGTGGGTTCCAATTATCTAACAAAGGCCACATGCTCTCGGTTTAACTAGATATCTATCAAGCATATATCTAGTCTAAAAGCCTATCGATCTATATATGCATTATGGTTGTCGTCGACGAAATAAGTTTTAAAATTTCAATAACAGAGGAAGAAAATGGGACCAATGAATAATTGAACATAGTAGAATTACTAGATGCGGCTCATAGCATGTGCTAACATATAATACAATTAGTCAAAAAAGCAATATGGTACTGTATGCCCATTTTTCGTCACTTGTGATGTACCAAAAAAAAGAAGTTTGAACGCTTTTTGAGTAACTGCATGATGCATAAAATGTGGAGAGCTATGTGACTGTGTTCCTCCTCATCCGGACTTTCTGTCAATTATATATACTTTGTGTAGCCAACTATCGACATAAGCTTTAGCTGGCTAAGAGGTCTTTATGGATTTGGAGTAGGGAGTTCAAACGTATAAAAAAATACCATATTACAGTATATGTATCTCTAACTTGAGATGTACGAATCTTGGTCTCTAATCTCTTAATAAATTTCAGTTCTGAAAAAAAAGAAAAACCTTGCAAGCTCTAGTGAAATATTGCATATAATTAAGTTGATCGTTGCATGTGACCCAATCTTTAAATAACACGCGGATCTCATGAGTTTCATGAGGCAATAATTTCTCAAACCATTTGTTCTTTATCAATCTAATTGACACGTGGAACATTCGTTTGTGGAGTAAGACCACATGTGGATGTTCATCTAATAATTTCATCCTTATAATAGAATACTGTCTTTTCACATGCATACAAAGTTAGAAGATACGTCTAAATTCTAACTAGTGAAACTTGAAGTACAAAACATTATTAAAAAAATCCTTTTCGAAGACAAAAGCATTTGATGTATACCACAAAATCCCAATAATTGATAACGAAATCGATTATATGTGTTGCTGATTAGTAAGAATGAATTAATAAACATGAAAATGAGAAAAGAAGATCAAAAAGAAAGAGACGTGAAGGTAAAGGTTTTCGCAAAAAAATTCATGTCCATACTTTGAATACAGTATCGAGCTGTTGCACTATAGTTCGTGTTACATTACATCAACGAACATCATCACTTTTCATATCCTTATCGCTATTTCCTTCAAAATATATTATTTTTGGTTAGACACATTAAACAAAAAAGATGGACACAGCCAAACAACAGGTCAAAATGGAAGTTTCAAGTTGTATGTAAAAGAAAATTCAAAAGCATTAGCTTAGTCATCACTCATCAATTCGTTCTCCGAAAGTTACAAATTTGGACCATTCCAATTGTCTCTAATGGACCCTAGTGATCTTATCTTTTCGCTGATTTATCCCATTTCTTAACTTTTTGATCAAATCAAACCCTGTTTTTGTAGCCACTCATGTTTCTCATATGCTGACCTCATCTGGTAATAAATCATTAATTATCATCATCACACTCGTCATCTTTTGCCATCTTCATCAGTGCCTTTGCCTATCAATATCAACAAAAGGAAGACTTGTTTTGGATCGCACGGAATACTAGGTCCACTAGTTTCTCTTATTACCTTAAGGCCCAATATTAACGGAAAGACAAGGCCCATTAATATGAAATTAATTCCCAGACGGCCTGACCTGAAAGACCTATCGTGAAAGCCCAATATTGGTTTGTTTTTCTTTTCGGTTTAATTGACTTCGAACGAAACTGTCGTAAACCGGACCAAAAGGCAAAATACCAAGTACCAACTCAGCTCTATAATCACTCTTCAGACGATAATGTAGATCAATAAAACAAATTACACAATGGAAACAACGTAAAATTTAAGGATATACAAATATTTGAGCAATGAACCACAATCAAATCGATTATGAACATTTCATCATACACCACAAGACTCATAAATAACTTCACATACGTTGCAACGTTGCATATGGAATCACTTGGCACATGTTCTTGCTTTAAGGACAAGATACGTTTGGATCATATTCCGGCCGAGCATTCCGGAGGAGGAACAGGAAAACGAGACTTGTCGGTACAATAATCATATACCATATGGTTCACTCGAACCCATCTATAACTTCGAGCCTCGACCGGGTTCAATTGGTGGTACGCACTGCCTTCCCACCAATTCTTCGGATTAGCCGGACAATACGCTGGTCCAGGAACCGGACATCCTTCTATATCGAAATCTTTGTAGTATGCATAAAATGGAGCTCCTGACCAATTGATTTTCTCTTGTCCTCCACGTGTCGCCCAATCATCGGCTTCCCACAAAGTGGAATATACGCCCATTGGTTGGAATCTCGGGTATGGTACTTTCTTTGCCTCGTTGTTCTTATAAACCCTAATTGGCACATTGTCTACGTAGAACCTACGCATCACACAGATATTAGACGGTTAGAAAATAAATATTAGTTTTACATGTTTTATTGCAACAAATAGAACCATAATAAACTTATGGCTGATAAAGTAAGGGATTATAGAAAACATGGGACCTTTATATGATCAAATCAATGAATGCACCAAAAACAAATATGCGGTCTCTCTCATTCTCTTATTACATGGCCCATGGACCGACAGAATATTAAACCAATCATATCACTCTTGATAATAGGAAAGGACAAGAATAGTTAACCGAATCTTATAGTACCGAATTATTGGTTGATTTATTACTGTTAAATTAGCTATAGGTTACTTATTTGAACTCTTTCAATAATTGCAATAGATAAAGTGATAGCTATTGCTATGTGTACTCTACATGACTTACACAATACGGAGATGGTTCCATGAAATGGCGTATTCGTGGAAATCACGAGAAGGGTCAAACCAAAGGTTAACTCTTTGCTCTCTATCGCCTTTACCATGAGCAAATACGTTGGTTTGCACAGTGTACGGTTGTCCACTTCGGTTTCCCAAGAATTCGAAATCTAGTTCGTCTCTTACAGAATCGGTATCTGAATTCATCTGCGTAATAATCATTATATATGGTTAGTAATTAACCTAATCTTTTGAGAAATGAAGTAACGCAAGCTAAGATATGTGTGTTTACATAGAAGGCAGCAACAGTTCCGGCCGAATCACCAGGGATGAGTTTGATCTTCATGCTTACGCGGCCAAACAAGTACTGCCTCTTCGACGCAAACCCACATCCTAAATCAATATTAAAATGAAAATAATATAAATACTAAATCAAAAGTATCATGTTTGCATGTCATTAACTAGCTAGAACCTGAGCTAGGGTCCAATCTGAGCTGAATGGCTCTTCCTCCATCGGTTTGAGTGATATGAGAATCAGACCATGTGATTCTAAAGTCGTCCTCAAACTTAGCCGGTCTACTCAAAACCGGACGGTACAATGCTGCAAATAAGCATAAGCTTATCGTAAAGAAAACATCTCTTGAAGAGAAAAGTGACACTACCATTGTTGTTCTGTAGGTAATGAAGATCTCTTATGATGATGAGTTTGATTAAGATTAGAAGATCGAAGCCATATTTATAGAGAGACGCATGCAGGCAAATCTAAGTGTAAATTATTGTTTTGTTGGGTAAGGTATCATTTAGAGCTTAGCTTTTCAATACAGCTAACAAATGATCGATCGTCTCAGTTTTCTTGGACCTACCACTTTTGTATTATTGTTGTTATTATTATGTTTTAATATTCATTGAATATGTCTGGTTTTCTTTCCCAAATTTTACTGTTCTTTCACTCTCTTTTTTTCTGTTGTTTTAGTGAAAAGTATTGCTTGCGTTTTTTGTGAAACGAATCACATTTTCAATAAATATCTGTTGTAAGCTTTATCGATGAAAGGAAAAAGAAATAGAATTCTTTTTTTTTTTTTTCATTCCAGTTGCTCTCATGTCATCTGAAACAATTTAAGAAGAATTTATAATAACTATACTGTGATAAAAAAAAATATATATATTTATTGGCTGGCAATGATTGAAACGGATGATGATTTTCGCAACGGACTGAACTGGTTGGTATACGCGGTGCATTTTCACTCGCACACGTGTTACCCATTGCACTGTTCTGCTATGCCTCACACAATGATACAAAATCGTATCTTAGATTATAAATGTTGAATATTTTAAAATAATATTTTACTAAATAAAGTCAAAATTCGTATTTTTGTATCACAACAAAAGAGGTATCATTATCACAAAACTGAAATCTATCATCAGAAAGGAAAAAATATTGAAATCCTAACTTAATGTATTGGTTAATTTGATTCGACAACAAGTTAGATTTGTCATATTAATATTCTTTTCACACATTACACCAATTTGTTTCTCCTTCTTAGTTGCTTTAATGAGAGTAGATGTGAAGTATTTAAGATCGTACATGAACATTCTATGAAATGAAAATATGAGAGTAGGGATAGGTCTATGTTTAATTATGGATATTAGCTTTCATTTCCTTATCCACACCACACAAGTCGTGCTCGTTGAATAGTTTCAGATCCCCCACCTTTGTTTATATCTTTATCACTCAGTGTTAGTCTGAGCTAGCAAACATCGTAAGACCGATTAATTAGAATTTATCAGGCAATTTGGCATTCTAGTCTCGAATCTTCAATCCATTTTTTATATAGTAAAGTATAACTCAACATTTATCATATTTCAATAATTTCTATACTGTTGACCAGAAATCCGAAAATGTACATACCTACATTTTGAAACTTTCAGGCAAAAAAAAAATAATGATTTGGCTATGTTACGATACCATGTCTAGTAATGCAATGTACATCCTTGCATGAAAACGATAGTTATCAAAACAATTAAGACTACTTAATTTAGAAGGACACCACCACATTGGACAAACCCACATGGAATTACGAACTATATGGATAAGGAATCGACGGACTCCATAAATTCATAAAAACAAAACTCTACTCAACTCAAAAATTAATGTCATGTCTTTGAATTATTTTACCTTTCCATTATATTGATTTAATATGATACCCACCTTTTTCACCTCTTTGCCACCATTTCCTTGTCGTACTTGATCAATTTAGTAGCATAACACGACCGACAATAATTTGATTTGAGGTATATCGAAAAACTACTATTTTTCAGGTAACGAAAAAACACTATTAGTTTTCTTTTAATCAATTGGTAATACACAATCTGATTTCTAATTCACAGCTATAATTTAGCCCACTTTTGTACAATCTGTATAAAATAACATTTGTTGTGTGTCAATTATGCAAATACTCGATATATTTGGTATCTTTGAAATTGTGAGAATTGGCCCATGACAAGGTTTCTAGCTATGGGCTTTATTCGACATTGGTAAGACAATCATGGGTCATGATATATAAGCCCAACAGAGAAACAGATTCCGTAAATTGAAATGAAAATTAACCCAGTTTCCGTAAATCATAATACGACTTGAATTGATTAGTCTCTAGACGCTAATCCTTCAATAATCACACGCCCAACCTGAAGTCGAACTCACATGTAGAAGATACAAAAAGAAAAGTGTTTTAACAGCGGTTAACTGAACATAAGCCATCGAGAATATAATTGTTTTAATCATTGGGAAAAGAAATTGGGAAGCGTGAGCGAAACGTATTTGACACAGTTATATGAATATTTGAATTATATACTGATATACGAACCCATTACTTTATAATTTATATGAATATAAGTAACTTTTGGTTAGAAGAATACGAAAAGGCAAGGAGGCACGTTATTGGTCGGTCAGGTGTGGTGGGGTCCTTTCTACTGCTCCAGTCAGTCTATTACCACAAGAAACCGCAGAAACCAGAACTCAAAAAGCAACTCATCCTATTTTTATACACTTATTATTATTTTTTAAAAAGTTGTGAAAAGAAAATTCTAAATGGATAAAAATATTTTAGCAAAAAAAATATAATCGAAACAGCTGTGATGGAACGTCAGTTCCTGGTAAAAACCTTGAATATTTTTGTGTGTTTTACAAATAAAAATGTTTTACTTTCTTGTGTTTACACCTTTAACCCTTAATTTTCTTGTTTTATTGCGTAATGTATTGTCTCTTATATTTATTTTGATCTATTTTGTCGTCTTCAAAACTTTATCTTTTGTTGGCTCTACTCTCTTATGTATTTAACATTTTTCCAGCTAAGTATTTTGACATATTGACTGTTCTTTTGCGTTAAAGTTAATTATGCATCCTGCTCTTTTGTACCTACGTAATTTCTTTTTCACCTGATTCTTGTTTTATTGGACACTTGTAAACATATTCGTATCAAGCTATACATACACATTTAATAGAATCTGACTCCCGTTAATTATACATCATGATTTTATTTCAACAATAAAGCTTTCGTATACAAAAATACGGAGGTCCCAGGCATATTTTTGTATTTTTCCTCATCAGATACTGACTCTCTCATACATATCTTTGATGATGTGATGATACAAAATAAAGTAAAAAATAAAAAACTTATATATATACATATCATGTCAAGTCATATATAATGCTTACGTGCATATATATCCGTGCGTGTAGTATAATTTAGGAAAATTTTATTTTTCCCTTCAAAGAGTAGCCCACTTTCCTTTTTCTCTCTACTTACAAAAACTCTTCCTCTACACATCAAAACGCAGAGAGAAAAGAGAAGAGAAGAAGAGAGAGAAAGTCTAATTGTTTTCTCCTGTGAACTGCAAATCCAATCTTGTGTCTGAAGATGGCGTGGAGCAGCAATATGTCAAGCTTTCTACTGATGTTGCTGATTCTTAATTCGACCCATTTCTGTCTAATGGCTTATGGTAAATGGGTCAATGTCACATTTCCATATTTTCAAACAAAGATTCCAAAATCTTAATTTTTGTTTTGTTACTTCTTATGACATTTTTCAGGTAGACCAGAACCAAAGTCGGTCGAATTCTCCAAGGTACAGTTCTTCAACATCCTCTGCTTTTCGTTTTTATCATAGAACCAAAATCAACTTGATTTTAACTTTTGAGATGTCTCTAACTTCGAGCAGAGAGGAGATCAAGATCAGAAGATGATGATGAGAGGTCTAATAGGATCAAGCCCACCAAGGTGTGAAAGAGTGAGATGTCGTTCGTGTGGTCACTGTGAAGCAATCCAAGTTCCTACAAATCCTCAAACAAAGCTTCACTCTCCTTCTTCTTCTTCTTCCTCTGAGGTTATTAATCTTGATTACATCAGAGGAGACGATAGTTCGAATTACAAACCCATGAGCTGGAAATGCAAATGTGGTAACGCTATCTATAACCCTTGAAGAAATTTGTTTCATTTTTGGGTTCTGATTCTATAATCTCTGTGTACATATATATGTTTTAGTTGTAATCTTCAGCGTTTCTGGTAATTCTGCGTTATTGATTCTGATGATGTTGTTTACTATAGTGTAGTTAACAAAAAAACAGAGCTTAATAATAAAAATTGCTTTATCCAAAATGTTTTTGCTTTTTTAGTTATTACAGTATTGTGAAAGTAAAATATTTTTAAAAATCGAGAAGTGGTAATAATATTAGAAGAACACGCATCGTAAACAGAACGCACGGAAACCTATTTTCAAGACGATTCTGACAAATACCAATTTCATGGATGAAAGTTACATCACACACGTACGTATGCATCGATATATATACATTTGTGCATATCGATACATTTATACACATGAGATTTATCATTTCTGTATGGAAAATTTGTTGGTCTCTTTAATAAAACAGACAAAGATACGTTTGATATAAATATGAAATATCCATAGATGATGGACAAATAATCAGCCGTTTTGCTGTCGTGTCGTCAAACGTCGCCGTTTTAGCGATTATGTCATTCACATTGGATTTTGGACTTGTACTTTTTTTGAATAAACTGATTAATTTATTTAGTGACCACTGGTGATTTTCTGTGTCCTAGTACTTGTTGGAGTAGAGTTCTAGTTAAGATTTATTAGTATCAACCTTGAATTAATAAAATAGTACGACCTTTTATTTATAAACAAGTTATAGCCGGTTTCAATTACATATAACCAATTCTTGTATTTCCCAAACGGAAAACGTAAAAGAAACAAGAAAAACTGAAACCAATAAGACATGCAGTGGCGACTGTAGAAAAAAAATCATGTGGGTTTAATGGGAATCGAACCCAAGTTATGAGGTGCAAATAGGCTACTTTTACCATATTTGCTAGAGTATTTATTGTGTTTTCATGTATATTTAATAATTTTATACCGATTATACGGTGTCACTTGACACCATATCGTCCTTACTAGGTTCGCCACTGAAGACATGTACGATGATACGAAATGTACAGTAGTTAATAGATTGAAGCCTATCAAATGTAAAATCAGCATTTATACATACCAAATGATGATGGTTAGATCCACTTTACGTCAATGATCCATTTCTACTTATAGCATTCTTTTTCGTTTAAGTCAGATTTAACATTTGGAATAAGTGTATTATACCTCTAGAAATTAAAATGAGATTTGACAAAGTCATAAAGGAAATTGAAGAGTGTGATATGATGGGATTGATCATATGGAAAGAAGAAGGGAAGTGACAAAACAAATGAGAGGTGATGTGTGTTTGTGTCTGGTGGGGTTTGCTAATTTCACAAATCAAGCAAAGCAAACAGTCTTGATTCTCTACACTGTTCTTCCTTTGAATGACTTTACTCACCTCCAATTTTTTGTTTGTTTTCATTTCATTTACTACTTAATAGTGCTACACTGCTACTCAATAGTCGATCAATTATAAATAAATAAATTAACATATATGGAATTCGGTGGAGACCTATGTGTCAATCAAAGTCAGTACACTGCCACAATGCTACTGATTTAACTAATCGTCTCAAAGACAACGCCGCTGTGGATGTTATACACAATTTCTTCAAAAAATGTTAATCCTTCTCTAAAAACTTCTTAATAGCGGATGTAGATTGGTTTTAGTGATAAGTTTTGCTGTCACTACAATGTTTTTGTTTTTGTTTTCCAATATGCCGACAGATCTCAAAAACGCTACCTCCCTATGAAAAGTTTATAAATTTTAGAAAATGTATTTTGTTTACATTTGATTAATTGCACATTGTCGCAAAATCGATTAAACCATTAATAGCAAAGTGACAAAATGAAAAGACTCAAAGGAGGAAACAACAAAGAAGGAAGAAATATGAGAGTTCCAAAGCACAAATACTTTGGCCATTCCTATCTCTTTTTGTCTCTGTTGCTTACCGTTTAGTTAACTGTTTCCGATCTCTTCTCTGTTGCATCACTTCCTTGGAACTATGAATGCCATTAAAAATATATCGAAAGAAAAAGTTTAGCCATTGGAGAGAAAATCGTTAAAGCACAGAGTTGACAAGGTACAATCACGTGGAGGCATTTTGGACATATCCATCACCACTTTCTCTGTTTCAATGATCTATTTGACGTCAATAGATTGCTCCATACCTCATTCATTGTTCTTGTACGACACAGGCCTTTGTTCATCATAATAATATACGAGATGGTTAATGCCTCCACGTCAGATAGTAATAGATGGATGTGAATATGTTTCTTGTTTCATTACCTACGAAAATAGGACTAATCGTCAACCATGTTACCTCATTACATAAAGAGTTAAACACATTTTTAGTCTAATATGTACTGTCCTCTCCTTTACAGTATATATAAAAAGGTTTTGGAAAAATACAGAGAATATTTTCATTGAGTGGAAGACAAAACTTACGGAATAAAAAGTAGAGGAGATTCCAATGGTCCAATAAAGATATTGGTCTTTAATTTGGATATGAATTTACACGCAATAGCAAACGAGTCCCAATTTTTTTTTTTTTCTGTCAACATGTCAATGGTTTAGGTATATTGTTAATTTGTTATTATTTATTTTTGTATAAAAAGATGTACATATGTCGTTGGTAAATCATTTAAAACCGATGATTAATGTAATTCCGGAGTTAACAATAGAATAGATGTAATATATACGCACATTACGCTTCAGATGTATGTGATAATCACCATCATGACATTTGTACCATTATACGATCACATTCACATCATAGTGAAACTCGTGAATTATATATGTCCAACGATACGAGCGTTTTATATTGGTCTATCTAATATGTATGAAAAGTACGACGTACGTACATGGTTCTAAAGCTTACATGGGTTGAGAAATTTGAAAGAAGCTCTATGATGGATTCTTAAATTCGTTGAAAAGCTTTGATGGATCAGGATAAAACATGCATGCCTCAAGTACTATGATGAAAATATCATTACAGCTAGCATGTTGTGTACGATATGTGGTTAGCGTTGAAGCAGTTGTTGACAAATGTGATTTTTAACTGTAATTATACATTTTTTTTCAGATTTCCACCATTTTTTTTTTTCATTGATCAACAATGTTTTTTCAGCATGATATTTTGTTTTTTCCCCTTGATCATACACCACTATAAAAAAAGTAAAAAACCATTTGCGTGGGTGATGGAATTAAAAGTCAATGTTAGGGCACTTTCATGGGGACCATAGCCTTGACGAAGACTAATTTCACACAAACGTCAATACGGGCTGAAACCAAGATTTCAAGGACCAAGAAGCTAGGCCAACATGTAATCTTGACATAATTTCATATTGTGTCCTAATTCTTTGACTTAATAAGTTTCTGATTATTTTGATAAGAATATATTTCCCACTCTTCCTAATCAAGTATGGTTTGATGTAGAGTTAACCGGTTCGTTTTTGTCTAGCTTGTCACGGATCTACTACCATTTTCATGTTATTGACACTTAATATCGTTGTGAACTGTCAATCAAGCTCTCTGTAGATAATACAAGTTTCATTAGTATCAAAAGACAAAAGCTCTAATCTACTAAAACAATTTTGCAATTTAACACTAAATCTACACTTAATATGACTTTAGAAAGTTTTCAAACACATCACATATGTAGTTGGGCCTTTGGAAAAGATTGCGCCTATCGTGGCCTTTTATTTATGTCCACTACACAAAACAAATTACAGTGCAGTTTGATTTTTGAACATTAAATTTGTTCAATGGATCGTCTGATTTTTCTAACTACTATGACAAGTCAAAGCAAATCGTTAATCGTGTACTCAGCAAGAATCACACACTGACACACACGTGCCCGACGTCGTTTCGAAGTCAGCTGAAGGGGTTACATATTCATTTTCTTCAAGGATGAAGTCTTTTTTCTTCTCCATTTTCTTTGTTTCTTTCGCTCTCTGCGGGTTGTTTGTAATTTAAGGGAAGCACGGATTTTGTTACGGCAACTCTACTCTTTCTATTTCTCCAGATCTAAGAACTTCACTCTGCAGTCTGCATTCACACACACCCTTCTTTGATCCATCTCTCTCTGACCCATTTCTTCTCCGACTTGTTCCCAGTCGGAATCACAAGTTGTATTTCCGTGATCAAACTGCTGAATTTGTTCCAGGTAAACTTTTCTCAAGCTATTTGGTTTTTCCGATTTCATCGTGATGTTGTTCTTCCGATGGGTATCGAAAACTTTCCCTCGATCTAAATAAAACTGATCACTTCTGATGCCGATTTTGGTTTGCATGATTTTGCTAATGCTATTGATTTATCCAGAGTTTGTAGAATTTTTAGATTCTTAGTAAGTGGCTGCTCCAGATATTCACTGATCATCTCTGAGATATTCGGCTTTTTTTTTTTTTTTTTTTTTTTAAATATACAAATCAGGTTGCTTTGGGAGTAATGGTGAGATCATCGCCACGAAGAGGGCAGAGATCAAAGGGAATAAAGGTGAAACATTGTGTTCAGCTGACTGTGTTACTTGGTTTGGGGATATGGCTGATTTATCAAATGAAGCATTCGCATGAGAAGAAAGCTGTGTTTGAGGAGAGTGCAAAGATTGTTGTTGGGGATAAAGTGGTAAAGCTTGGAAGAAAAGATCTTAACCCGCTGGTTGAGAAGTCTACGAATGTGAAAGAGCAAGTGGAAGAAGATGAAGGGAGCAACAAGAATGATAAATTTGGTAAGGAAAATGGCGATGTGAGTGTAGAGAGGGAGGAGGAAAGAGGCGAGGAAGGGACTAGTGAGAAGGAAAATGAAGGTACAGGGAATGAAGAAAGCGAGAAGGTGATTGAGGAGAGTGAAGGTGGAAATGAGACGAGCAGTGAAGAAGCTAGAGAGAAGAATTACAAGGGGGATGATGCGTCGAGTGAGGTAGAGAAAGTGGAAGTTGAGGAAGAGAGCAAATCTAACGGTACTACTGCTGAGAATGTGAGTTTCCATGAGGATGAGTCAGGTCCAAAGACTGAGGAGCTTAATACTTCCGTTATCAAGAATGTTGCTTCGAATACAACTGAGAATAGTGGAGAGATTGGTAGTGATGATGGTGAGAAACAAGAGACGAAGAATGAGTCAGATTCAAAGACGGAAGTGGAAGAGAACACTGATGAAACAAAGAGTGAGAGTGAGAGTGAGAGTGTGGTGTTGGAGAAGGGTTTCTCTGATTCTAATGGTGAATTGCCTGAGAGTAACATGTCAGCTTCCAATGCGACTGCAACTACAGAATCAACTGAAAAGGCCGGCGATGGAGCTGAGAGTGGGAAATCCATTGGTTATCAAGAAACGAAAAACGAAGGAGACGGGAAGGAAAAGGTACAATCTTCTGAACTGTCATCTGAAGAGGAAAGTAAAAACAAAGAATCCGAGAAAATTGAGAAAGAAGAGTCGTCGTCGTCCCAAGAGGAAGAACCTGCGAAAAAGGACAAACAAGAGCTTTCGTCCCAAGAGGAAAGTAAAGTGGACGAATCTGAGAAAAAGGAGAAAGAAGAGCTTTCGTCCCAAGAGGAGAAAGAGAGCAAAGAAACCGAGAAAAGTGAGAACAAAGATTCTTCAGAGTCTCATCTAAAGGAAAACACAGACAGTGAGAAGAAAATTGAACAGGTGGAATCTACTGGTTCTTCTGACACACAGGAGAAGAGTGACGAACAAAAAATTGATGAAAGCAAGAGTGAATCTGGCAATGAGCAAAGCAAATTGGATTCTTCTATAAAGGAAACAGGGGATAACACTTCAAAAACAGAGTCTGTTAAAGAGGAAAACAACAGAAGTGGTGGAACAGAGGAGAGCCAGAAGAATCAAGAACATACCAAGGCTACTTCAGATAACAGTGTTGCTAGTGAAGATGTTAAGGATGCTCGAACTGATTTGGAAACACTGCCTGAGTCCAGCAATGGATTGACCAACGACAAAGTCGCTGCTGAGTGATGTTCTTTAACAAAAGTTGCCATGTAATTGTATACATATTCTATAATATTATGGGAGCTGATTCCCAGTTAGCAGTATTGAGTTTTGAAGCCAGTTAATACAAATACTCTTATCTCTCACTCTGTCTCATCGTCTTATTATGAAAAAGGTCATATTTATTGAGATTGAATCACAAGAGATGTGAGGAAACACGAGTCTTTGATAATAACAAAACAAAACAAAGCAGTATTCTTATTTCCCAACAACGGAAAGGAGATTGTAGTAGCAAATGGTAGACAAAGTTAAAACAAAGAAGATAAGCATTTAGCCTTTCAAATGAACCAAGAAGAAATTATTGTAAAGACGAAAGATTTCAGTGCCCTTCGTTGTGCTTCACCTCAAACAAACCGTCTGGACCTGACAAGGACAAAATAGAATACGAGTCAATTCAAAAACGGGACATTCTTTATCACATCTAAATAGTATCATCAAAAGCTGCATACATACCCCAAGGAAACTCCTTGTTGCGGATGTGCATATAAGGATAGGCCTGAAACAAGGAAACAAAGAGGAACAAAGGTTCACGAAAGCTTGAGGCAATGTATTATCTAAAATTACAAAGCAGAATGAGTGAGATAAGCCATGTTAGAAAAGGGTAAGCTTTATTAACAACTTCATCATCTGCATACTCATTTCCGTTTTCAGTGGCGATAGTACCATTGTCTCTCATAAGGTAAGGAAGATTTACGATTCCAAATCATGATTTAAAGAGCATTTCAGTGAGATTGATGTAAGAGAAAGCTTACAGGAGGGTCCTCTCCGTGATGGTGGCCCTTGGATAAAACCCAGGCGGCTAGAGCAGTGCAACTAGCGATACCCAGATAAGTTATCTTCTCCCACTTCGCAGCTTCGTCTGTACAAAAATTCAAAACAGTTTGATACATAACTAAATCGTGTACTCAGAAAAAAAAGGTGACCATTTCAACATGGAATCAAGCACTGAAATGTTGGCCATTTGATCCGATAAAACGCTTCAGATCATCGCGAGAAAATAAAACTTAATATCAAACTGAAAATTGACCAATCGATCTACCGAATCAATTCATGATTAATAGAGTTAAGTATCCGAATGGGTTCCCGAACAGAAGGTTCGGATCAAAAGTTTCGAATTCGTTTGAAATCAAATTGAATCTTAATATCAGCTCAAAGCAGAGGAATCTAAAAAAAATCGGCACGGAATAAGAAATGAGATGAATCGAGAAAACATTCGAATAAATCTAGATCGAACTGAAATGACAGAAAAAAGAGAGAGATGAGAGAAATTACAAGCGTCGTCATGGCCAGCGGACGCAGAAAAGCTTCGCTTAGGAGCGACAGATGTCCTCGGAGCTGCGCTGATCGCTGCTCGGGAAAGAGCTGTACGTACAATCGCCGTCGCCATTCTCCGGTATCTTCTTCTTCGCGGTCTCTCTCTCTCTCTGGAAGTGTTCCGACTCTCGGAGCAGATGTGAAAAGGGTTATGTGATTCACTAATCAGAAATTGCTGAATCTAAACCCAAACATTATATGAGTATAAGCTTAATGGGCCTCACTTTGTGAGCTATCTGAGCCCATTACTACTTACAAATTATTTTATTTAAAGAAAATAATTTCCGAATTTTGGTTTGATTGAATTAATAAATCTTGTAATTTTTGAATTAACTCCATGTTATGCATTTTTAGTTTTTTTACCTTATATTGTAGTTCATTCTCAATAAATTTCCACCTCTATTAATTAATTTTATGAAGCAAAAAAAAATAGATAATTCAAAAATAGAGAGAGAACAATCACATTTATTTAGATAATTCAGCTTTGGGAGTCTTGATTGTCTTTGCCGCCAGAGGCCGCCAAGAAAAGAGCTCCGGCGCCAGATCCACCGTGAGAATGTTCGATGACGACATGATCTGATAACTCATCGCCGAGCATTTCCCAAACACTGCTATGAAGATAGTTTCTAAAGACCCTGTAATGATCATACAAACCTCCTTCAACAATCACAATGCTCATCTTCTTCTCTAACCTTCCAAGCTTCTTTATCATCCCAACTATTCCTGCTCCCGCCACACGAGCCGCTCTCTCCGCCACTACATCGCACACTTCAACCACCACTTCCCTCGCCGCAAGTGTTGAATCCATTATCTACAAGTAACAAGTTACACATACAATAAAAATCTTAAAACTTGAAAATGTTGTACAAGTCTTGTGAAACTTACCCCAAAAACATCTTTGAGCTTTTTGTTCACGATGTCTCGATCTTCGGATATGTCTTGATGCATCGCAGCCATATCTGGCGACCTAAACACGCGGAGAAACAAACCAAGTTATTTTTCCTGAACTGTGATCTATATATAGTTTTGTATTATAGTCTCACAAAATTTTGTAGGTACCATAAAATGTAAGGAATTGAGAGTTTAGGAGGCAATCTATCTCCAAAGAGTGCAGATTCTTCAGACATTCTTAGCAACACTCTTCTCACTATCTCCCCCAAGTATCCTCCAGACACCATCTTCTCAAATACCTTAAAATAACCAAGATTCTCTTTAACGACATAAATTTGTCTGAAAACTAAGAGAGAACTAATCGGTATGCGTTATTACTCGGCTTCCAGGATTCAAGCTTTCCACATCAAGAGAAGCATCGATCTCAGTTACAGGAAGATGACAAGATCTGAAGTCTCCCCATTCAGTGCTAATTACCTATACAGTCACATGATTATAACTTTGAAAGCTCTATGATTTTGGACCAAAAATGTGCTGAAGGTATATGAACATACGATCTCTTGCGGCTCAGGTATTGTTGATTTCCAATTTGAAATCTCTTGAGGCTGTTCGATGTAAGCAGCGTTAGTTCCCATACCTAAAGTGACTGCAGCCACAGTGTCCTTATGATAGTACCTTCCTCCAGCCAACTCTCCTATTGTGTCATCCACCTGATCCAAATCATTACAAAGATTCACATCAAATCATCAAACAAAAATAATCACATCATCCGCTTACCAGAGCCGTGTTCATCCGAATTTTCAGGCCGTGTCTCTCCAATGATTCATTCATTTCATTCAGATATTCCTTCAAAACCGTATCATCATATGCTAAACTCTTCCTCTGTATAGCCGAGATTGAACCTGCGTGTCCAATATGCTCGACGAAGCGCGTCAGTGTAAACCCGAGATTCTTAACTTCCTCTGTTTCTTCACTCGGATTCTTCCCAAGAAATTTAACTAGCTCCAATGATATGTAATCGCACAACTCCTGAACACACACACAAAAACTTTTTGCTTAACGTAAATCTAACGTGTAATCGAAGCAATCGTGAACCAATATTTATACCTTGAAAGCATTGTTTAAAACATGGTCGGGGATCGAAATATCCTGTTTCTGTACGTCGGAGATAGGCTCTTCGTTACCTCCTAACGTTCCGCGTAGCAGCAGAAGTTCCTTGTCTCGCAAGTTAACTCCATAGTGTACGCCCTTCTCATTCCTACAAGTTAAAGACTGTTTTATTACGGTCACTGATACTACTCTACCTAAAACAGAGGATTTCGGATTCTTGGGTTTTACCCGGAAGGGAGAGAACCGGCGAATGAAACGAGCATGTTGAGGGAACCGCAAGTCTCGGCGGAAAGAGAGGCGGTCATGTCGGCGACAAAGGCGTCCGCCATCTCCCAGAGCTTGGACACCGGCGTGGCGCATTCTCTGGCGAATTTCCTCAAAATCCTCTGTGTCTGTTTCCGCCGCCTTTCTTTCCTCTGCATCCACCGACCTAATAGTACAGCCGCTGCAACCGCTGTGACCGTTGCAACCGTCACGGCCACCACCACCTCTTTCCTGGTCATTTTTCTATATGAGCTTTTTGTTCTGTTCTCCGCTCAACAGAGTAACGACGATCTCATGAAGATTAGATGCGTTTCTCTCGTTAGCATGTTTTGCGTATCATGTTGAACCATTCAACCTGTAAACCGGATAATTCGGTTTTCTTGAAAAAACATCTAATTTAGGTTTGGTTTGGTATAGACACATCAAATCAATTCTAGTTCCTAAAACCACACTTCTAAACAAGCAACAAACAAAGCCCAGCCCAATCACAGGCAAGCAACTAATGATCATGCATAAGAAAAAAACAAATACATTGAGAACACGAAAACAAGAAAAAGTTGTCACAAAAACAATGGCAAGACTAGTTCTAAACTGAAATGGGGAGAGAATAATAATTTTGAACTTTTCTTGGAATGTGAATGTGATGACAAGATCAACAAAATTAAATATTCGTTTTCTTTTGGATAGTATGATCATTTTGACTGCGTTAATAATTTATGGTATTAATTTATCAACCGCGATAGCGATAGGTATAGAACAAAGTGACCCGGATTCACATTGATACACTCCAACCAAATTGGAAATTCGCACGTTTTCAATTTCACTTTTATATGTGTTCCAGAAATAGAATTTCCCCATTTTTCAACGTATTACGTTAGTTTTGTTATTATTTCAATAATGGAAAAGGATTGTAATTATTTTAGAGCGAGTTGTCATGCCATGTGGATGTCGACTTTCAAACTATATATAATTAGATGATAATGTAGTTATATAGTGTTTTGTGATTGGTGATTCGGTTCCTTACTGTGTCAAGAAAAAAAGTTAGGTCCTTACTAAAATATGCTATGGATTCGAAAGCAACAAGAGTCCCATGAAACACGTGATTCGTTTTTACTGTCTACGATGGATTAGCTACCAAAATTTTGTTTTACCGCACGTAGAAATGTTCGGATTAGTGATAAAAGTTATATTCGATATGTCGTCAATCTATCAAAATCTAACAAATCTATGGCAAACACAAAAACAACAACAAATTAGCCCTGAGTTATTTGGTACTCAAAAATGCAACAAATTGGTTAATTACTTCTACAACAAACCATAATCTATGGACGTTTGTGGTTAGTGCTGACGTCAACAAACATTTTAGTGAGAAGGAAAGAAGACAAGGGCCACAAGGCGTACCTTGAGACATAAGAGAAAGTATCAACCAACAAGACTCATTAGTTCAAATGTAAAAACTTTGTTATATTATATATTAATTATATATTAATGCAACCAATAAACTATAAATAGGTAAGTAGCTCTTAACAACATTGATGAGACATAATAACTTTTTTTCTAATAAGTTACGTTGCCCATTGATTCAAGTTTGGTTGAAGGTTTCTCTAGCTAGTTTTGGATCGACAAAATAGAAACTAGACCATAATATTTTAAAGAACATATGTGATGTAATTGTTACGGCTTAATAGTGAAACCTGGATATGCCGGCCAAACAAATATACATCAATCAGGACAAATCTCAGCGGTGCGTCACACACTGTTCTTGTTTAATTAGTTTTCATTATCATCTAAGTATAAAAATACTAAGTTTTAGTACGTAAGAGTACTTCGTCATTGACTTGAACCACTCTTTTCTGTTTCTTGATTATATTTTTTTCATTAACTTCCTTGACGTTCTTGCACAGTTGTTTTTTTTTAAAAGACGAAAAAATATCACCCAAAATCATTGCGGTTGACAAATACTACTCCATAATTTGCTGTCATTTTTAAAGAAAACTATTGACATATCGTGTATCAGATTTTCTGTGTTTACTTGCGCCGCTACTATGTTACCGTCCTAATTCAGTTTGGTTTATATAATTTACAGTAACTATTTTGAATTTTCATGATGAAAAGTATCTTGTTTAGGATTAAACTTTATAGATTATAGAAAATTAAACTTAATGTCTTTTCTTTTGCACGAGGCAACAGATGTTAACTTTGGTCCAAAATAGAAGAACTTTGCAAAGTAAACAGTTACATGGCTTATATCAGCGTTGGATTGTTTGGACCTAACAAAGGCAAATCCGAACCCGACAGAGTTATAACTGGTTTCACATTAATTTGACATCATTGACACTGTAACCAACAATATACTACTAAAATAGCAATATCCCACGTTTTGAATTCAATTTATTAACCTAAAATAGCAATATCCCACGTTTTGAATTCAATTTATTAACCTCTTATATGTCACTGGTAACCCGGTTTTTAAGGAAATTGCCCGTTATAAGTTTTTAAATTTAATTCTTCTTTTCACCCTTTCTGTAGAAATAAATAAAAATTCATGGGAAGTTGAGAAAAAACTTGTCTTAAAATGGTTGTTAAGTGTATCAACAGGCGGAAATGACGAAAGAAAATTAGGTGAGTTGTCACGTGAAGGATGGAAACATTTGGGTTTAGACAGCGACCCAGATTCCATGATACACGTGAAGGATGATAGAGTCATGTAAAAGTCTTCCTTTTAACCAAATCTTTGTTCATGCTATTGTGTGTATTAGCCTTCTAATTTTAAACCTTAATCATATTGTTTTTTGCTTTTACCAAAACAATGTCAATACTTTATAATAAACAAAAAGTAAGATAAGTAAACATTCAGTTATATTTTTGGACATACTTTCCGATAAATTTGACAGTAGATTTTATGTCCAGCATGGCGTCATATCAATATCTTCTCCACTACAAAGCGTAACATCGACTGTATATAGTTATCAGTTACCTAGCTAGATTCACATAATCTTCATTGGATCCTAATAAACATTTTTGTTTTTCAGCGATCGTAATTTCCTTGCAACCAATAATAAGCAATATATTTTCCACGATTCGGACGTTTAGTTGGCACCTGGAAATAATTGTTTCATTTGGAATTTCATATATATAATATTTTATTACAACTGAAAGAAAGAGAAGGATAGTTATCCACTTTCCTAATCGACGACATGTCATAATTTGTTAGTACGATAGTATCCTACGATTATCCCTTCTTGTTGTCCTAACATGGAAGCAAAGACTTGGTCGTCCTGTCGCATTCCTTGACTTGATTATCTAGATGATGGGAGATGATAATAACATCATTTCTTCCAATAAAAAAACTATAATTTATAATTCAAGCTTATTTATTAAGTGAATTGGTTTTCTATCTCTTGTACATTACTTTGGACAATTATGGATATGTACTATTCTCATCAAAAATAGCAAGTGATCTAGAATCCTTGATCATCTTTTTTTTTTTCTTTTTTTTTATTGATCATTACCTTTTTCACAAAATTCATTTTAGATAATTTAGTTCGTCCTATTTCTCCTTTTTTACTTAACACAAACTTTAGATATTGGTATACAATTGAAAAGACATACAAAAGAGGAAACATATAATATAAAGTATGTAAGGCAAGTAAAATCAACATTGACTAACACTCAGTTACACACGAAGGAAAGTGCTTTGCATCGGAGGAGTGATTCTTCAACTAATTCAATCTTCAGCACAGGCAAGAAGGTAACAATTTAAGAAACCCTCCAATCATAGTTATCGATTAAAAAAAATGATAGGCAAACACTACTTATGATTATTCGATATGTTCAGCTAGATCTCTTGAAGAAATCGACGATGAGCACAATTTTTTTAAAAAGTCACATGAACTTCGTTAAAGAAGACCTCAAACTCTTTACAACATCCATGAGTGTCATGTCGAAATCACTCTCCTTCTGCAAAGAAATATATACATTAAGAATGTAAATACTGATCATCATGATTCTCTAAAGACTTCAAATTATGGACAAGCTCTTTGTTCATATATGTGCTTATATGCATGTACCCGAATATTTATATAAAATCGTACCTTAGCTATTATGGTTATGTCAAGAGTTGGTCCGAATGGCAAAACACTTGAGTTGGTTATTGAGAAATGAAACTTCTCAATCTCGGCCATAATCTTGGCTATATGACCCTTTTGCTTCTCACAAAGGATCTTGATTAGGACTTCTTTATCGGAGAATCTAACTTCGATCTCGGGAAGATCTAAGCCCGAGCTGCCATCTTCACAAGAAGAAGAAGATGATGATTGATTATTATCGTCCAAAATCAGCTTAGATTTCTTCACAAGAACCATTGATTCTAATCTTCTTTCCTTCTTCTGTTCCTCAAACTCTCCGACTCTTTCTTGGAGATACTTGATATGCTTTAATGCATCTCCCAACACAGAAGCCTTGTCCATCTATACACACAAGTTAAAGGGGAAAAAACATGATTAACAATTTTTGTTTTTTCCTTTGATAATCTGAGAAGGGAGATATAATGTGGCATCTACCTTTTTCAAGCCCGGAACTAGAGCAGAAAGAGCTACAAATCTTTGAGTAAGCTTCTCTCTACGTTTTCTTTCAGCGATGATGTGATCTTGAGCATTGGATTGACTTCTAGCCAAAGGTTGAGCCCTCTTGCTCCCTTTTCGATTTGCTATCGGCTCGTTCATCTGGTATAGTGACCCTTCAGCCTCTACTTTGGTGCAAAAGATTGAGTTTGGATATGTGGGAGAGCACTCACGATTCATAGCATTTGGACCGGCATTTGCGAAAGATAGAATTCTTGAGGAAGGTTGATGATGAAGATGAGGCTTTGAAGGAAGAGGAAAAGAGGGTGCATGTGGTGGCAATTTCGGTGATATGAAAGCTGTCTTGAGGATCTTTGATGGTTTCATTTCGATCAATTCATCATAAGAAGGATCATTATTGGTATCATCAAGAGATGAGAAAATGTGTGGAAGAGTGTATGGAATTTCATGGACTTCTCCCAATATCGAGTTCATGTGATATTGTTGAATGATGCTATCTTCTTCCATTTCCTGTATCATCACAAAAGAAGAAGAAAAGTAATATTATAATGGTTTGGTTACGAACTTTGGTAGATGTGACATATATAAACAAATGTATCTTTTATATTGAGATTCGAAGCATATATGACATTTGTGTGTGTGTGTGTGTGTATATACCTGCTCAGAAAACCATCTTTTTGATAACATATTCATCTTGTTATCTAGGATTCAAGATCTGAAAATGATAAAATTAAGCAATAATTAAGAACAATATCGTATATAATTTTTTTTTTTTTTTAAATTGTACTTAACCAAGAACAAATAGTAGATCTTGGGTTGTTCAAATAGATGATTTGACATTTGAAACCCCAGATCAAGAAACATTAGTAAGTGGTGTGATTTGTGTTTCTTGAGAAACGATAAATTAGTTAGTGTAGCCCTAGAAAGTTGTAGAAGGTTATATCCAACAAAAAAGATTGGAGAATGTTGAAACTGAAACTCACCTTCTTCTTGGAAGTGGAGAGAGAGAGACGGAGAGAGATTGGGGTGTGTATGAGAACTGTTGTATGAATGTGTATATATACACACAAGCATGGAGAATTTTGCACGTGCGAAAGGCAATTTTTCTACTATATAAAATATAGTCCCAACACTAATAAGATTCCGTTTCTCCCATTTTTTTGGGTGTCAAAAGACTCAAAACAAAGTAACAAGAGATGTACATATTATATAGCAGATACATATGAAACCGTAATAAAACAAGTACGTTACATCTATGTAATTTTTGTAAAACGAAAAATAAGTAATTTAATCAATCTGATTGAATTATGCTAAACTAAATAGTTGAATTATGTAAATTTTGTAATCTTTGATTTTAATTCATCATACACCAACTTTTTAGTATCGCAGTTTTGATGATATCAACTTCATTTGCCATATTGACGATAATGATCATATTGGCTATGTTATTTCCACTCATGTTGCAATTTGTCAACAACTTACGTATTTTTTTATATGTTTTTGTCAACAACTGTTGCAACTATTTAGAAACGACGATATATAAATGGATTAGTGAGGAAAAAGGAAAAACTGTATTTCACATTACAGCGGAGATAACCACAACGCAACCTCTTTGTTATATACTTATATAGTATCGGATTATAATAACAAAAAGAACATATAGATAAACTACCAATAAGAAAGAAGGAATTATAGCTTCATTATCAATTAAAATTTCGAACATTTCTTATCATAATGTTAAGAGAAAATGTAGACAAAAGCAGATGGTGGGTCCAACTGAATATATTCTAGATTTTAAAACAAATATTTATGAATTTCTACCTTTGTTGTGTAGAAACTAAATGTGGCATGCACCAACCAAAGATCTCCCTGGGATTTTATGGGATTTGTCTATGGTATTGGTTAGTCATTGTTACGCTATTTTAAAGATCCATTATTTTCGTTTCAAAGAGAAAGTAAAATAATCTTTTTGACCAACAGAAATTAGTAGGACAGTGGGACAAAAAAAGTCAGATTAAAATTCTAAGGTAGAATCAACATGATTGAATTGACATGTGTAAACTTTATACTTTTGATGAAATTGAAAACTAATGCTTCTAAGAGCGGATCTTTATAACCATGAAGAGTTCATCATTTGAGTTAAGTTCGATCTTTATCGACATTCATATCAATCTGTATCGACAAAAATGATCACAACTCTAATTTAATTATCCAAACCTTTAGACATAAAATATCGAGGGGACTCATTGTTATCAAAGAGAGACAGATACATGTGGACAGTTTCATGGGCTCCTGTCTTGTGTCTTGTGCAAACGTGCTATATATTAAAAGGTTGCATATATCATCACTTGGGTAAAAAACTTTGATGTAAAATATTTATCGAAAGTGTTGATCAACGTTGAACTTCGTAGAAATGCTAAGCTAGGCAACATAAAAAACCACGTGGGCTATTAATTATGAATCTACGAAAATAGAAATAAATGTCAGTTGAGTTACAGCTAATCTTCTCTTTTTGCCTCCATTACTAAGCCACATGCTATACAGAAGAATCTTGGCTCTTGTAAACAAGATTTAGCATTTACTTTTTACATATAAACATTTCAATAATCAGTTGTATTTATTCCTTTTCAGAAGCTCCAAGTACATATACATGATTAGGGTACAATTTAAAAACCTTATTTCATTTCTCAAGATCTAAATACTAAATTAACCCTAGTATTATAATAATTTCCTGGATCGGTATCATTGGCTATTGGCTAACGTGAGAGCGCATAATTATTTTTAAAGTCAAACCCTAGAATGGAAAACCCTAGAATGGAAACGAAAAAGAACAAACAGATACAGACAAATAAAGTATATAGAATCAAACAGAGAAACCTTATTATAAGCTTTTGCCATAGCCCCATATGTCATGTAAGAACCACTTTAGTGAGACTTGCCTTTCTTTAATATATCTTTCTCTACCATTATTTGTTGGTTGATAAATTTAGAGCAAATTGGCCCCTATAATTAATGGATCTGCTGTAGATTTGCTCTGGATCTGATAGCATTATTTCGTCCTAACACCCTCAAATATTTTGAACTTTTGATCTAACAAATATGTTAAAGAACCAAAAGAAGTCGTCAAAACAGAGTTCCAGATTGAAACTAACCAGCTAATACAGAAAGTGACCTGAATGGACAAACTTCAGAGTGATTCAGATGAAGAGAGCAAGAAGAAGAAGAGCAATTCTCATCTTAATGAACACAAAGCATGTTTTGGCCCGGTTCAGTTAGATAACAACAGAAACTTCGGTTTAATAGATAACCATGTGGAATATAACTAAACCAATGTGGTTGGTTTAATATTCCGCTTTTTGGAGCAAACAAACAAACAAATGACATTGCCTAATAAGGAAACAATGAAAATCAGAATTGATTATAGATTTGACTCATAAATAATCAATCAATCAATCTTTTGGAATATTTCTTGAGAATATGTACTAAGGAAGAGCAAGTGAGAAAACAGAGAAGATTAATCGCTAAGCTTCAGTTTCTTCTTCTTCTTCTCAATCGCTAATCTTTCTTGCCGTTTCTCTTCCTCTATCAACCGTAGTTGTTCCGCGTCTTCTTTCTTCGCTAGTCTCGCACTGTGTCAAACAAACAAATAATTAACGACCGTTAGTTTCCCGGAAAAATCCAAAACATTTTTTATATATATTGTTTGGTAATGAAAGTTATCAAAACATGTATAAGTGTGTAGTGTACCTTCGTTTCTCTTCCTTGGCGATATCTTCAAAGCTGGCTTCCATGTTTCTATCATCATAATCATCGTAATCACGCCCCGCGTAACGATCACTCTTGCATATCTCTCTAACCATCTTCAACGCCAAATCATCCTCCTCTGACATTCTTCTACGCTTCTTCTTCATCAGTTGACTATCTCGCTTCAACTCTGGTTTGCTCATCACCCGTTGTTTCGAAGGAGGCAATGATTTTCTTGGAACCATTTGAGGAGACCTTGCGACTTCGTTAGAGACTTTTCTCTGTTCCACCCTTTGTTTAGGTTTAGGATCAGATGTCAATGGCTTTGTTCTCCGATCCACTGGTACTGAAGCTGGTTTTCTTGCAAGAACCGGTTTTACTTTGGAAGAATTAGTTGATGAACATGGTTTAGGCTGCATTTGGATGACTGAAGAAACCGCACTTGAAGGTGGTTCCTTTAAGGAAACAGGAAGCTCAGCATCATCAGACAAAAGGAATGAGTAGTCTCTTGATTCCTTACGTTTCTCAGCCTCTTTTTTCACCTCCTACAAGCAAGAAACAAAAAGGCATATTAACAAAAGGTAAAAGAAGCAACAAAACCTAGTTTTCAAGCAAAACATTAAATTAAACTCACAGTTGGGATTGATTTAGAAGCCAGACGCTCCTTTTCTAACAGAGGTTTGCTCTCTTGTAATACTCTTGGAGCAATAACAGGCTGTGAATGTCCAAAGAAGGAACCAAAGCTGCACACAATAAATGAAAAACAGAGTTAAAATTCAATTTTATGCAAATTATGTAAACACAATTGTATAATAAAAACCAAGAAAAACAGAACTTACTTGTTATACGGAAGTTTTCTTTTCCTCTGCTCTGAGGTTGGAGTTGGATCAGCATCGTTTCCGTTTTGCATCTTCTTCCTAATCGATTCCTTAAGTCGTTGACGCAACTCAAGAAACTCTTCATAGCTTTGCATATTTCCTGGAAGATAGCTTGTCGTAGTTAGCTCAGGAAAACAGACAGAAAAGCAACTAGGTTTTGTGATTAGGCTCGATCACGGGCTAACCTAAGGTAAAGTTTCTACGAGACGTGCGGCGCAATCAACAAAACGGGAACAGTTTAATTAGGGTAGCCAAATCTCTTTACTTCAATTTGGACGTAACGATGAGACAACTTACGAAGCCAAACGAAGAATGCGAAAGCTGGTTTCAATCACAGAGGAGAATTGAAGAAAGCTGAGAGAGATTATGAAATACAAAAAGACTGGTGACGCTTTTATAGGTATCACTTTCCTTTTTTTCTCTTGGAAATATTAACTAAAAGGTCCTTTTAGTTTTATGACTCTTCAGATAATATATGAATTTTTAAAAACGGTAACAAAAAGCCCAACAAAGATAAATTGACAATAATTGATTGATAATCAAATTACATATATGGGCATATCCACCACATTTGGAGCTTTGTTTCTGGAGAGCACTTAATCATATAGAGAGATACACAACAAGAAGAACACAAAGTCTCTCATTTTATTCTTAATAAAAATATCTCCTTTTTCGACATCATCATCATCATCATCATCATCATCATCATCATCATCATCATCATAGTTTTGTTCTTTCTAAAAGACAGGACCAGCAGCGAGAATCTCCTCCGTGAGTTTACCATCAACACCAATCTTATGATTAGCAAAGACCTCAAAGTTCTTCTTGAACAAACCTCCCAGTTTCACCAGTGTTTCCTTATGTGCTTTCTTATCAGACCACTGCATTTTCATTAGATTCATCATCAGTGACAGTTAGCATTCTAAAAGAGAGAGAGAAATTTTTCAGTAAAGAAACTAACCGAGTTTACAGGATCCAATATCTCTGAAGGTATCCCTTCAATCTCAGTTGGGATTTCAAACCCAAAGATTTCGGTTTTCTTGAAGTTCGCCTTCAACAAGCTACCCGAATGGATAGCGTCAATGATCTTCCTAGTATACGCAAGCTTGATTCTGTTTCCAACACCATAACTGCAGAAAAGATAAACATTACAGTTACAGACCATCATGTTTAACAATCTACAAACACATGTGACAAGGCAGCTTTTTTCTAGTTTACCTGCCACCGGACCAACCGGTGTTAACGAGCCATCCAGTAGCACCTTGTGTCTTCATCTTCTCCGCTAACATAGCTGCGTACTTTGTTGGATGCAACATTATGAAAGCTGCACCAAAGCAAGCTGAAAACGTTGCTGTTGGCTCCTTGATGCCGTCCTCTGTACCAGCAACCTAGTTCACATCTTTGGTTAAGGTTTTGAAGTTTACGGAGACTGATCCAAAGGAAAGATAAAGACTTTTTGTTTGGGGGTATACCAGAGCAGTGTAGCCACTGATGAAGTGGTACATGGTTTGTGCCAGGTTCAGCTTGCTCACAGGTGGGAGGACACCAAAGGCGTCACAAGCCAGGAGAATCACATTCTTCGGGTGTGGACCAACACATGGTATCTTCGCATTTGGAATGAACTCAATCGGATACGCAGCTCGTGTGTTCTCTGCAAACAAACGATTGATCAATCTCTTAACTCTAAGGAAGAAGAGAAACGAAAGATAAAAACTTATGTTTGTTACCTGTAACGGATTTATCAGAATAATCCACTTCTCTGGTATGCTCATCAAACACAACATTTTCCAAAACTGCAATGACATCAGAAGAACCTTATTGTTATATATCTCACTGAATTGAGATTTTCCTTCCTCAAGACAATTCTTGTTGAAAAACTCACCTGTTCCAAACTTGATGGCGTTCCAGATATCAGGCTCCTTCTCCCTCGAAAGGTCAACACACTTAGCATAGCATCCACCCTCAATGTTCGATACACCAGTCTCAGTCCAACAGTGCTCATCATCTCCAATCAGATACCTGTTGTGATCAGTAGACAACGTCGTCTTCCCTGTACCTGAAATCAACATCCACAGGGGAAAAAACAACCATCAATCTCAATTCACACCCCGCATTACAACAAAGAGGCAAGCAGTTTCCTTATATTTCCCTTCACCATCAACCATGACACCAATACTATACCTGAGAGTCCAAAGAAGAGAGCGACATCTCCATCTTTGCCCATATTGCAACCAGAATGAAGGGAGAGGATTCGACGCTTAGGCATAAGGTAATGCATCACACTGAAAAGACCTTTCTTCATCTCCCCAGCATACTGAGTTCCAAGAATAACCATTTCCCTCCTACCAAGATTCAAGTCTACGCTAGTGGAAGACGTCATGTAGTGAGTGTAACGGTTACACGGAAACTGTCCAGCATTGTATATAGTGAAGTCCGGTGTACCGAAGCTCTCAAGCTCCTCCGGAGTTGGCCGGATACACCTGTCACCCCCCTCACAAATTATCCATTTTGTTTGCTAAAGTTCTTGTTTCGTTTTTTTCACCCAAAACCCATAGAGACTATAATGGATTCACATTTTGGCAGAGCAATAAAGGAGAGGTTTTTACTTACATGTTGTGCATAAAGAGTGAATGGTAAGCTCTAGCTGAGACAATCCTGACTTTGATTCTGTTCTCTGGATCCCAGTTTAAGTACTGATCATTCACAAACACCTAAAACCCCAAGTAAATTCATTAACCTGAGATCCAAATTCTACACTCAGAACATTGATTAAAGTTTCAAAATTTATACCTTTTCCAAGGAGTTCAAGTAATCAACAGCTCTTTCTCTGTTAACCATGAAGGTATGTTCATCCATCTCGATATTCGGCGAACCCCTAAATCAAAATTCGATCCAAAATCAATAAACGGAAACAGAGGAAAAGCTCCAAAATTCCATCGATCAGATAAGAAATGGAGATAAAGGTACTCACTTTCCCCACCAAAGCTCGTCCTCCGTCGTCTCGTCTCTAACGACACGCTTATCTCTCGGAGCTCGACCAGTCTTCGCACCCGAGAGCGTCGCCAACGCTCCATTGGAAGTGATAAACGAACCTTTCTCATACTTGATAGCTTGCTCGTAAAGCTCTACAAACACCAAAATCGAAAAATCAATAATCAATTCGTCGGAAAACTTCAACATTGGTTAAAAAAGGGATCGGATTTAGGATGTGAAGTTTTTCACCTGCAGGGGAGAGGTTGTAGAGGACGTGGGTGAACTTCAAGGAGCTATCACTGACGGCGCCTAAGGCCGGAGAAAAGATAGAATGATGCTGGCCGTGTGCGTAAGCCGGAGTAGTCGAACCGTCGGCTTTCTTCTCCGCCGGGTCTCCTCTCACCACCTTCGGTCCTGATTCTCTCGTCAACGATGCCAACGACGCACTGTTTCACCAATCAAGTTTTGAATTTAGTTTCCACGTGTCATTTTATACCACGTGTCAGTGTCGCGCACGTTAAAATATTATTTTCGGGTAATTGTCACTAATGGCGCATTAAATTCTCTTTGAATTACTTGCCTAATAGCCTAAAATAAACAAAAACAAATTCCAAAAAAAGGACGAAATAATTAAGAGTAACTGAAAATTATCAAGTTTAAGTGCATCATCACGTTAAGAAAAACAAATATCTTCCTTAATTCGATATTAAACATTTTTTTAGAAAATTTTGTAAAATCAGAACATATTATAGAAGCTTGCGACGTCCAAATAATATGTATATGTGAACAAATACATGTTATAATTATGGACCTGATTGACTGAAGCTGAATCTTTTGGCGCTCCTCCTCGGAGGCGGCGGCGAAAGCGGCGGCGGCGGGGCCTTGGTTAATAGGTGTGGTCGGAGCAGAGCGCTTCTTCTGTAAGGAGTGAAGCTCATCGAGCGTCGTGGCCTTCACCGTCGGACCACTGTCGTCGTGGCATATTCCGTTACCTCTCTTAGCTCCCGTCGTTATCTTCGGCATCGCTGGTCCTTTCGGGAAGCTAAATCCTCCGTCACCGTTTGCATTTCCGTTACCGCCCGACATATTTTCCCGTTACCTGAAACCACACAGAAATCAAAATTAACTCAGTAATTAGTAATTACACTCATGATCAGTTCATTAAATTTCACTGCAGCTACACTCGACGTAAAAAAAATTACCGGAGGAAGAGAGATCACGAAGGGGACAGAGAAAGATTACAACTAAGCTAAAAGGGATTAATGATCAGAGGAGAAGATCATTTAAAGTTTGTGTGGAAATCAAATAGGATGTAGACGATGATATGATGTGAAGTGAAGAGAAGCGAAAGTGGGCTTTTAAAGGTTAGATTTTTTAACCATGGTTAGAATTTTAACCGAGATTGATGTAACCATGGTTAGGATCTATCCTAGGAGACGAGCCCATTATTTTTAATTTTATTTCCTCTTCTTACATCATAACCTCTGGTCTGATAAAGATGACTATACCATTTATTATGGGTCCACGCGATATTGTAAGATAAATTCATTTTTGGCTAGTTTTTATCTTTGTGATTTTTGTTTGAAAAAACTCGATAGCTCTGCTACCGCCTAACAGTTGAAATTCACGTAGTTGGTATGAAATTCAACTTTATTTTGGTAATCAAGGATAAGATTTGACTTTCTTTTGCTAGTACTAGATATAAAATTAGTTTAGATGCGAATTAAATCTTTGTGTAAAACAGATCAACGTGTAATAAGCAAGCAACTTGCTTTTGTAAGTTGCACACTTGTATAAAATGGTAAACGACTTTACAATTGATAGTTTTCGCAGTCATCTAATTTTTAAAAGTGTAAGTTGTTAATTTCGACTTGTATGTAGTGGAATAAGAAAATATATATCGAAATACGCTCGATCGTTTAGTGGAATATCGAAAACGATAGACACAACTCCGATAGTATTTTTTAGGATATGGGCACGCATCTCAAAGCAAGTGGATTCGTGGGAAGACACGCAAGGTTCAAAACACGTACAGTATACATACGAATACGAATACTATTATATTATTATATTTGCACTATGTTGTCATAGATCAGGAAAATACAGTACAACAAGAACGTTATACGAGTTTGATCATGGTTATTAACAATTACAAGTTCCTTCCTGACGTGTCGTTTTGGAATTCATTGTTAGTCACTTGAACTGTAATCAGTATATTGATAATTATATAACCCTGTCCGTGTGCGTTGTGCCCAAAAGTGAAGGAGAATAAATTTATCAGAGAGTCTGCAATTTGCTTGCAAGTATGGGCGCAGGATAATGAAGACAAAATAGTAAACAAACTGTAACAATAAGAAAAAGTTGGGCCAAGAATCTGCGGTTCGAATCTGGTTTTTTTTTTTTATAAAATATTGTTATGATTATAATTTTGTATCAGTCGTGACATGAAAAAGGTATACTGTTTGTAATAGTCATAAAGGAGGCACTACATATTATACTATCATGTCACACACGACACGAGAAGTGCATTTTGATGACAGAGACGTTATAAACTATGAAATATCTGATTATTGATAGATATACATGTAACAAGTACCTAACCAAATCTCTTCACCTAAATTCTAATGTGATGGGATCTAAATTTGAATTAGTATTCAGTGTTGTTTAGATCGTGATTATATGGCAAGAGTGAAAAGATTTACTTACACTTGACACTATTAAGTATTAACCCTCTAAAAACTGCACCAGAAACTGATCTTAATTCTTTTTAATGCCTAAGCAGTTAGTCCGATCGAACTTTAATAGTTTGGACCCACAGTGTCTGTCTATAGGTAAAGTTTAAGACTTACGAAAAATCAAAATCTAGCAAAGTTGAATTAGTCTTCTGTTGAAACTGAAATTTAGCTTTTCAGGAATTAAGAGTTTTTGTTGTTGTTAAAAAAAAGAAGTCTTATCGTTGGCACATATATCATCGCGATGGAGAGAGATCACAGTTCATAATACACGCGCGAGAGTCTCATGAAAATATCACGACATTTTTTGGGTTGTCGGTCTTAGCCATGACCGATAGATGTTCACATCAATGACCCCAAATTTTCTTTCTTTTAGAAAGAGAAAAGAAAAATGTAATGTTAATTTGAAATTTTCATACTGTTGATTACATTGAAAGGCATTTCTATCTGGTGTGTCAACTTAAAAGAGTATAAGTTTGGTAACCACAAAGATTAGTTTCATCTTGACATGTGCAAGTAAGTGATTAATTGTATTAATATGTATTCTCTAGTCTCAGTTTCACTTTTGATTCTTCATTGGTTATTTTCTCATATTAATTGTGAGGTAGTTATATTTTCCATTATAGATTCGAATTTTGTCTCCTTGTGGGGGAGGCCGATTCACTCTTCCCTCTTTTTCTTTTCTCGGATATCTCAATTTCACATGCTACGAAAAGAGTTTTCTACTGATGTCATAAAATCAAACGCATTATTTTCTCCTATTTTCGCTTTTAAAGGTTGCTCAACTTTTAATTGTTTTCTAAACAAGGAAAAAAACCAATCACACAAAGAAAAAAACATAAAAGTATGTCAGTATGTCGATTATGAAATTCAGAATTAGGTTCCCAACACGAAGCTGCAAGAATTTGTCACTTTTTCTTACTTATTCTAAAACAAAACAAAAATAACACTAGTCTCAGTCTCAGTTAAGTAAGTTTAGTCCTAACTCCCAAGTCAGCATCACTGAACCTGGGTGACCAACACTGGGCTGGGCCTTTTCTGCCCTTTTAAAATAGATAGACAATGGGCTTTAATTTACAAGAGCCGAATATCGACGTGCTGGAATCTGTTATATTAAAGCAAAACATTAAATCAAATCCAACGGCTGAGATTCATTCTTCACCTGTTTTTGTTCCTCCGTCGAGAACAAGAGTGGTTTTACTTTCTGATCCGCAAACTTCATCTTCCACCTCTCGATTTCAGGTACGATTTCTCGTCTGAGTGTCTTTGATTCACCGTAGATTCCTAATTCGAGAATCGTTTAGCTAGAAATTGATGGAGATCTTAATCGAATCATTGAATTAGGAAAAGGAATCGGTGTGTTGTTGGTTGACTGAAGCGATCCGATCTAGGAGCGAAAATGGGAGGAGGCGAGCATGGAGCAGAAGGAGGCGATTTCAGAGCCAAAGTATGGAGCATGTCTGGTGGGCCTTACTGTAGGCCCAAGCATTGGCGTCGTAACACCGCCATGGCTATGTTTGGCATTTTCCTTGTCTGCATCCCCATCGCCATGAAATCTGCTGAGCTCGAGGTATATACACTTCATTTCTTAGAAGAATTAACACTTACTGTGAGTAATAGGGAATTGCTTGGAATTTGATCCTGGAGAGTTTTTATTTTGTTTTCTTCCCTCAAATCTGCAGCAATTAAAACCTGCTTATGTAGCTCAATACAGATTAATTGCTGTCTACATGCTGCAAATATAATGTTTTTAATCATATACTCTGCGTGGATCCATTATAAGAACATTTGCCATTATCTCACTGGCCATTAGAATGGCTGTGACGATATAAACTGTAAAAAAATATTCGCCAAATGTGAAACTATTCAAGATGTTCGTCTCTGACCTGATTTAGATTTGAAACCTTTGAATCTCTTGAGCCCTCCAAAACCCGTTTCCCATCACCTTTTTGTTTGATGTTATATGTTTGCGACTTTGTTTGTGTATAATCTTGGCTCTTCTGCAATATCTGCGAAGAATTCATTTGAAGCTGTAGTTTAACAATGAGCTTTATTCTTCTCTAGAGATTTGCTTTTACTTCATTGTGACCAAATTACATCATCACTTAGTATATTGTTAGATTATGTATATCTTAAATTTCCATTTTCTTGTTACTGAGATAAGCATGTGTGTTTGATTTCAGCAAAGGCCACACATGCCCGTACGACCAATTCCTTCACAGATGTGGTGCAAGAACTTTGGAACCAAGGACGATTACGAAAAGGAGCATTAAAGCTCTTCACTTTTTTTTTTTTGGTTTGGAGAGAATTCTTGAATTGGTCTCTTTTTTTTCGCAGACAATGTGAGCATAATCAAAAAGAAGAAGAAGAAGAAACTCTTGTAGATTTGTCTTTCATTTTCATAATACTACTGTGACCATAATTGGCCTTGCCATCACATGGAATCTTCCCAAATTATGAAATTTCATGTGTTTTTTTCCCAACACCCCACACAAAAACAATCTCAGTGACCAACGCTTGGGCTTCATAATAATGGGCTTTTTGGTCCGAAAGAGTTTAAATCGTGTGTCATCGGCTCCACACTAAAAGCAAACATTTTATAAATCCAACGGTTGAGATACATTCTTCACCAACTACTGTGCACGTGATCGTTTCTTGTATGTCGTAAAGATAATCTAACAAGGGAGTGATGTGAAAATAAGAACAACACCCGATTTTACATTTTTTTGTTTTCTTCGAACGAAAAATAAAGAAAATCACGAAATCTGGTTTTTCTCGCTCTCTCTCTCTTTTCTTCATCCGTCGATAAGCAAGCGAAGGCGGTTCTCTACTTTGATCCACAAACTTCATTTTCGATTTCAGGTACGACTTCCCTTTCTCTATGTTGTTTCTAAAGTCGCCGACGATTGATTCGTTACTTCGTTTTCTGGATTTTCGCGAACGCGACGTTTAGTCGATTTCCTCTTTGATAGATTCCCGGTTAGTTAGCAATCGACGGTGATTTTATCTTTAGAAAATTCTGGAATCCTTTGTCGGATCTGTGTTTTCCGGAATCAATTTGTGTTCTTCACTGATCGGATTCTTCGGTTTAGTTCTTCAATTAAGAAAACCAGTCCTCTGTTTTTAGTATTAGATTTGAATCATTTGATAGTATCGGATTGATGATGCTTAGATTGGATTTGGATCATTTGAATACTCGCAGATCCGATTTTTGGTAGTCTTGGTGTTTCGAAGAAGAAAGAAATGTCTAATTTTGGTCTGAGATTGATGATATTTTCATGGTTTGAGACTAAGAAATTGACTTTTAAATCTTTGTCTCTCAGTGTACACTGATTTATCTAAAGAAATGGAGCTAAAGAGCATCAAGGATGCGTTTGATCGTGTCGCAAACAAGCAGAAACTCTCCTATACCAAAACGAACGAGATTGTTCAAATGGTGTCTCAAGAAATCGACAAGGCCTTGAGCATATTAAAGGACTCATCATCACCATATCCCACTCCGCTTGATCACAGATCGATCCTCGCCGGTGTGAAGAAGACGTTCGCAGAGAACTCCCCGGTGAACCAACTCGAAGCCGCCGAGAAAGAACTCAACGTGGCTCTCACCAAGTACCCTAAAGTCCTCGAGAAGCAACTCAACACCGACATAGCAAAGGCGTACAGAAACAACGTCGAGTTCGACACGCACATCGTGAACCAGATCATCGCAAACTTCTTCTACCGTCAAGGAATGTTCGACATCGGCGACTGTTTCGTCGCCGAGACCGGTGAATCCGAGTGCTCCACGAGAAAGTCTTTCTTGGAGATGCATCAGATACTAGAAGCCATGAAGAGGAGAGATCTTGCGCCGGCTCTTAACTGGGCAATCTCAAACTCTGAGAAGCTAAAGCAGGCAAGGTCTGATCTCGAGATGAAGCTTCACAGCTTACACTTCTTGGAGATAGCTCAAGATCAGAACTCGCAAGAAGCCATCATTTACGCGAGGAAACATTTCGAGAGATTTTTAGAGAGCTTTCCAGAGACCCAGAAGCTCGTCTGTTCTCTGTTGTGGAACAGGAATCTAGAGAAATCTCCTTACTCGGAGTTTCTCTCTCCGGCGCTGTGGAACAATGCGGCCAGAGAGCTAACCAGACAATACTGCAACCTGCTCGGCGAATCGAGTGAAAGTCCGTTGAGTATAACGGTGACGGCGGGTACACAGACTCTGCCTGTGCTGTTGAAGTACATGAACGTGATGGCGAATAAGAAGCTTGATTGGCAGAGTATGGAGCAGCTTCCTGTGGCTGTGGAGCTATCTGAGGAGTTTCAGTTCCATTCGGTGTTTGTTTGTCCAGTCTCAAAGGAACAGTCGAGTGATGAGAATCCTCCGATGATGATGTCATGTGGACACGTGCTTTGCAAGCAGACGATCAACAAAATGTCCAAGAATGGATCTAAGTCGTCTTTCAAGTGTCCTTATTGCCCTACCGATGTAGACATCTCAAGGTGTAGGCAGTTGCACTTTTGAAAAACGAAGAAGCCGACGTATGTGACTTGGAAGAATATTGGAAATCTAAGTTCTGACACGGCGAATCTGTGTCGGAATGTAAACTGTGTTTTGTCTTGATGAAAGATTTTTATAAATGGTGTCTTTTTGTGTACAAAAAATTTACCAGGGACGGTTTAGATAATCGGACATCCCTCATATGAAACGTTGTTTGTGTTGCTGCTTGTTTGTTCAACTTTCTGAATATAGAAATTCTTTACATTTCCAAATTTAAAGTTTAAACCCACAATTGTATCTCTATTTCGTACTTGTTATACTTCAACTACTTAATTTTTGTAATTTTTCCTTTTTGCGATAGAGCTATTTGTCTAGAATCTATCATATACTAAGTCTCATTACAGCAAAAAACAAATATTAGGACTGAGTACAATGTCTACCACTCATTCATTATTGGATTTTAGTGGAGTACACACTTATGACCTCTCTATCCAGATTAAACGTACCAAAAACAAAGGAGCACTTAACAAAATTTTCCTCTTCACTTTGACCGATTGACTCTAGAGTGTTATTGGTAGTTAATGGGGAACAGAATTTTGAACATGATTGTGAAATTATAACGGGGAACATAATAGAGGCACAAAAAGTAGGAATGAAAGAGAAAAAGTGAGCCTATCATCATGACATCTTATTCAATGTACAAAGTACATGAGACAAAAGCAAAGACCAATTCTGTTTCCGCCGTTGCAAAAAAAAAGAGGAAAGAATGATATGTTAGCCAAATCTCTTTTTTCTTGTTTGGAAATTATAATAGAGCACCCACAAATTTTGAAAATGCCTTAAGATTTTATATAGCACGGCTAAAGAACCAATATATTCATAATTTGAACCCAAAAATCACTCCATAACTTTTGTTCATATACCAATATACCATTCTAAATTCTTTGTATCAAACCATTACAAAACTTCTTAATAAATAAGTAAAAAACAAACAGACAGAAAAACAAAAAAGAAACTAGAATCTAGCATTTTCGAATCCATGGAGGTCGCTGACTCTATTCATATGCTTCCTCATGATCGCCACTTTAGCCAATCTCTCAGCCGCTCTCCACGCTGAAGTCGGTGTAAGCGCCTCAGATTTCTGAGCCACTACTTCTGGACTCTTCACCGCCACGTGTCTACCTCTGAAACGGTTCAAATCTGCCAGCTCAGCGTCCAAACCACGTAAGCACGATTCACTTGAACTCAAGCCGTACTGCACCAACAAAGCTCGAGCTGACGTCAGCATTCGCTCAGCTCCCGAGTAATCATTGGCTTCGATCAGCCGCCGAGACTCTGCCACTGCTCGTGTACTGACGTGGAGGTTTCTGAGCCTTGCGATGTTCGTGTTAGATGATCTAACGGCGACAGGACGTGGTATCAGAAGCGCTCGTTCTTCCGAGTTTCTTATCTCCTGAGTTGTAGGATCCACGTGGCGAGATCGGACGGTCAACATTCTGTGGGATCTACCTGATGAAGAAGATACAGGTGACTTGAGTTCCACCAACACTTCTCTTTCTTCGTCCCCGTACATGTCACCTAACCGAATCAAACCAGTTCCAAGCCAAACCGGTCGACCTGATAGTGAATAAACCGACGTAATCTCTCCTTGACCCAATCCGGAAACCAATCCGAGTTGTAAAGTAAGATCCTGAACGGATAAACTCAACAAACACTTGATGCGTTTGCCAAGCGCGTCCTCCTCGTGGTTACACGCGCCGAGCCAAATTGTGTGCGTCGGAATCTCCGAGTGAGAGAAGCGCGTGGACGATACGAAATCGGAGTGGGCCAATTGGGCTTGATGGGTCGACAAGTTTCTGTTACGGTCCGTTAACACGAAAATGGTGGTGAACGGATTTTTCTGCCGGCGATCTTCGATCACTTTAGCAGCTTTCTTAACCGCGTCGTTCACGCTCATTCCATCGCCGTCACCGGAGATTTCGTCGACGATCCGACGAGCTAATCTCCTCCCGTTCGCCGTCATTCTCCGTAACGGTGTTAATCGCTTCGAGCTCGACGAGAACGAGACCATCGACAAACGATCCGTCTCTCGCAGCGACGAAATCACCAGCCTCATTGCTCGCTTCACCATTTCAATCTTGCTTCCGCTGACGTCTAGAACCGTCACTAGATCCACCGGAGATCTACGCGTCGCCGGTAACGGCGGCGATTTGATTTTCATCAGCACGGAGTATGTCTCGTTTCCCCTTCCAACCGCCACAATTGCCGCATCCGACGACAGCTTGACGTCCACGTGTCCCGAAACGGAATCGGGTAAATGTCTCTTCGCCGTTAACGGTGACGGAGTGTTAACGAAGAACCCTTTGAAATCGCCGTTATCGTTATCTTCTTCCTCGTCGTCGTAGTCGTTTTCGTCTAATTCCGGTATGGTGTTGAAACCTGCTGGCGAGATTGGAGAGGAGATCAAAGGCTCGTCGTCGTTGTAGACTCTCAGTGATTTGTTGTTCTTTGATTCTCGGATCCTGGAATCGGATTCGGATCCGGATTTCGGGGATTTCTGAGAATCCAATTCGTGGAGAGGAGAAGAGAGAGACAGAGGGAGAAGCGAAGTATCTCTCCATGAGGCACCACAAACAGGACAATAGGCGAGTAGATTCCGATCACCGGCGCGTGAAGCCACGCAAGGGAAATGGAAAGTGTGTGAACACTCCGCCGTGAAAATCGCAGTTCCTCGTCCTGCTTTCGCGCTCTGTAAGCAAATTCCACATCTGCTGCTGCTGCTACTCTGCTAAAGAAAACACAAACACAAATCAATAAACCAAAATGCTAAATTTTGTGTGTTTGAAATTCAATCGATTCGATTGGATTCTCACTTTGGTGAAACAGAGTCTGGATTTGAGGAGAGAGAAGCTCGCCGGAGATTTCGGTGACGAAGGGGTAGAAGAAGAAACGCTGAGGAAAGAGAGAGGGCTTCTGCTTCTCCTCGGCGTTGTAGCCGTCGGAGTTACGTCGCCGGAAGTTCTGCACTGAAGCTTAGGACTAGCGGGAAGAGACGACGGCGAATGAGTAGTATTAGCCCAACTCTGGCAGCGAAAGGTGGAGTCCACTGAATCGGATCGGGTCTCCGACGTCGGAGTGGACCCGAATCTAAAAGTTGGTTTTTGCCGATCAGGTGAATCATCATCAGCTCTGTTATCGTCTTTCTTTTTATGTATCGAACTCCAAAACGTTCTTCTCAAACCGTTCATCATCTTTTCAACTTCTTTGCTTCTTACTTGTACTACGTTTTTGTAATGAATGAAATTTCTCCTGAGAGGAAAAGAAACGTTTTCTGAGATTATAATGTAAAACGATGAAGAAGACACTTGAGACAGAGAGTGGGAGAGAGATAAAGAAACAGGAGAAAATGGTGGGGTTGAGATTTTTTTAAAAGTTGCCCCCTTTTGTTTCGTAATCAAAGAATAGTGAATATTATTTGATTATTGGGATTATCAAGATGTTTAATTCAAGAAAAAAAAATTACCTTCTAAAAGCTGTAAATTGTTTTACAAAGTTACTAATTGGCATTGGTCTTCGTCTTAACGTTCTTGGCTAGAGACTGAATCGAGTAGATTCGTCGGCATTTTTCGAGGAGTAACATTAAAAATTACCCTACAAGTCTACGAATGTAAATCTAGCTCCACATCGAAGTGTTCTCGTTACATATTGAAGATGAAAACAAAAAAAAAAGTTTAATTTTTTATATCCAGTCAATAATTTTGTTTAGGTCAATTTTTGGGATCAAATCAATGTATATACTTTATTGATATTTACAGATAGTGAGTTTTTCATTTTATTTTGATATTGAGATAGAATATGGTTGGGACTTGGGATTAAATGTGATCAGACAGTAAAAAGATAACGAAGTGTCATAAATGAGTGAGACTGTGAATGGAAAAGAAGAAGATGGTCTTTATTCGGAGACGCGTAAAACGTAGCAGCCTATTACTGAGTTTGTGTGTACTCTCTGTTTGAGATCTGTTGTAGTGAGTCGGTCCATTTTTATCTTTACGATGCTTCTTATATTTTTGTTTAATGCCTTTTATCACTTTTTTCCATTTCTTCTTACACATGCTTTATAACAGCTTTTTGAACGTACATGGCATGCAATTCTTAGATTTCAACAGTACGCTGAGTTCTCTCTCTTCTCTCTCCTATATCTTTAAGAGAGAGCTATCGTTATTCTTCAAATTTCCGATTTGATTCAGAGTTTGAATTTAATTCTGTAAATAAATAATCTTTTGCTGGCTTTTTTTGCTTTCCGATCTTACGGATTTTCTATTCCATTTTACGGATTCGCTTCCAACATGATCGGTTATGTTTTCCGACTTCATTCGCACTTTGCCTTTCACTTCTTAAAAAATGATATTTTCCGATTAAAGTTATAAATCATTGTTCTCATCGAATCTTTGATTCATTATTCATGAGAGAATAAATCTTTACTCATGTGAAAAAATACGGTTTCACTCTGATTATGATTCAAAGTGATTCGAAGTGGTTGATTTGGAGTACGGAGATTTAGGCTTGGCGTCGGTTTTGATGATGGTCTGAGGAGTATTATCAATTCAATCCTTCGCGGTTAAAAAGCATGATGAAAACGGATATGATCTTCTCTATTCCGGTGATAAGTGAAAGGTTAGCAGCGGCGCACGGTGAAGCGGCGTGAGAAAGACTCTTCGACGACGTTCTACGGCGGTCCATCAGTGTCCCTGTTTGTCATGTTTCTTTAAATTTTAGATGCCACGTATCTAGCTTATGTACTTTTATTAGTTAATGATCTTTTGTATAGGCTGTTTATGGACCGTTTACTCACCTTGTACTTGTTGTTTGCCCTTTTGGGCTTCAATATAAAATGGCTGGCAAAAAAAAAAAAAAACGTACATGGCATGCACTGATTCACACATATATGTATTTGGATGTTTCACGTGTATTAATTATATACTGTGTAAAAGCTGAATTCAATTGTTATGGGTTTTGAAGGAAATTGTCTTTTACTTGATTATACAACAATGCATATATATGCCAAACCAAATTATGTTTATATTTTCAGAACAAAATACAACTAGGAATTTTTACCAAGTAAGATTTGTGTCTCTGGCTAAAAAACGATGGGTGTCTCACTGTATAAATGTATAACTATATCATCTTGATTTGATTAATGTTAAAATATGAAGATTTGGACTTATCTAGTACTCTAGTAGCATTTAGGACCAAAAAAAAAAATCGGTAATGATTTAGAACTAAATTTATCCTAGTATTCGAATTATCTTAATAGTATAGCTTAGGCCTGCGACTTCGGTTAGTTCGGTTAATTCGGTTCGGTTTTTTCGGTTTTTCGGTTAGTTCGGTTAACAAAAACTCTACCGAAACTAACCGAACAAAATTACGGTTCGGTTCGGTTCGGTGATCAGTTAGTTCGGTTTTCCTAAATTCTACCGAACTAAACCGAAGTTTTCTGAAAATGTTGTTATTTTCTATTATGTTCGGTTAAATTTGGTTATTTCAGTTATCATCGGTTATTTTCGGTTAGTTCGGTTTTATCGGTTAAACTTTTAAAAATATGCTCTGTTTTTAAAAAAAAAACATGCTTTGTTTTCCACTGTTTTTTTTTTTGTTCACGGAAGGCGGTTCGGAAGCTTCTTCTCCTGGCATCTCATCATCAAACATTTTATTGTTCTCATCGTGAGAAGAAGCCATCTGAATACTGGACCTTGTCTTCAACAGACGATGCACCCTACCTACAGGGAACTGCGCAAAAAGGAATTCAAATCAGCCACAACAACAATGGAACAAGTTCAAGATACAGTAAATGGTTTGACCTATCAATCATAGAGTTCTTGTGTTGAAGAAAGAGAGTTTATAATCTGAGAGCCATAACATCAAACAGATTGAAAAACCCACAAACACCAAAAACTGAACAAGATCGACATACAAAAATCATTCAAAAGCTTGGTTTGAGTTCTTGGTTAAAGCAAGATTGTTCATAATCTGAGAGCCATAACATCAAATAGTACGAAGAAACCAACATTAAGAAAGTTAACAAGCTTCAACACCAAAAATTGGTTCAAGATAACACGCATTAATGAATAAAACAAGCTTTTTTGTTGCTCTTATAACCTAAAACTACTATCAAGCAGCATAACAATGACTAGCCTTAGCTCTAGGTGAGTGATTCAAATCTCCATTGTTATCCCCTTGCAACAATTCATGCATAGTAAACAAAATAAAAAACTCTATACGAGCAAAAATCAGGAAAGGTCTATGACGACAAGAGCAAAATACACTGTAAATCAAAAGATCGAGGTTAATATCAACCACAAACGCTCACTGAAGCAATTTCTAGCAAAAAACACAGCAGAAGAGCGCATCCCAATGCCAGTATTCAGGTAGCTGCTACCGAAATCTAATTCAGAATCTCGTCGCGATCTACTCTGTAAAAGTTAGACTCAGTTCTAAACAAAATTTACTCTACTTTGAGTAGATTAGATTGTTAAGATGTAGAAACAAACAAGAAAAATGATGAGGATTAGAAAATCAATTTACCTTTATTTGCAAGACGAAAATGAGATGAAGAATCAAATATTTCATTAAGATCGAAGAAGACAAAGCAAGGATGATATGAAGAAGGAGATGAAGTAGGAGAAGCGATGGAGAAGGAAGGTGTCGAGAGATTGAGATCGTAGAGATGAAGTAGGAGAAGCGATGAAGAAGAAAGGTGTCGAGAGAGATTGAGATCGTGTCTGTGGCGGCACATAGGTTTAGAGTTTTAGGTTAAATTAGATCTGTTTTTAATTCGGTTAACCGTTCGGTTCATATGAACCGAATCGAAGTAACCGATAACCGAACATAATTACAATTGTTGCCGATCGGTTTATAACATGTAACCAACACAAACCGAATTACTCAAACCTCGGTTCGGTTCGGTATATTCGATTCGGTTTAAATTCCCAGACCTAGTATAGCTAGTTGTCGCACATTCCCTATGTTTCAGAAGATTTTGGTTGTTTCTTTCTGCTCCATGTGCCGCACCGAAAACATAAACAAAACTATTCCACACAGATATAATTTGATTAGAAATAGATGGTTTATTTTTATATTAACTTGAATGTGGTTGTTAATAATTATATGGAATAAACATAGCTGAAGAAAAACTATAATATATAGTTTCATTTGTTAGTTTGTTGTCGTTGTTTATTCATTGTAATTTGATAAGAATACAGTAAAAATCTGGCATCAACATAAAAGACAAGGAACCAGCAGAACAACCGTCCAAAAACTTCAATTAGAATCAGTCAAAACATGTGTTAATTAAATTCACAACGACACGTATGTTAGTAATCAGTTATCACATACTCCAAGTTCCAATAAACCTATTACACTAGAATTAAATCTATGGAGTAATCAATCTCTTTCAACAGATCGGATAAAAACTTTTGGAATAACATACCAGATAATTAAGATATCACATAAAACCATCTAATACAATAATTTTGGTCGGCGAGAATTATCTCCAAAACTTCGATAAAATTGAATTTTGTTGTGTAGATCAGTACTGCGGCATGTCACATGCACGAGAAGGTCCAAGATACTAAGTTTGGGTTTATGGAGACGATTCCTCCTATCGATGAAACCTTCTCTACCTGGACCAGTTTCTCGTTAACGATAGTTATTAAGAGTCACCACAACGATTTCGGCTGGTTGTGTAATCAGTCATAATGGCCATCAGTAGTTTATATAAAAGTTGAAATTAAATTTATCAATATATAATGACATTTTCTGAACCATTACGAGAGAACAAGATTGAGCGGCGCCGTGAGTTTATAAAAATGAAATAATGTTCATTACATACTCGAGTACTTGATTAATGTATTTGACCAGATAAAGAGACTTAAATTTCGTGAATCTTATCTCAACGCGGAGACTCTGCCACGGCTCGTGTGCTGACGTGGGGGTTTCTAAACCTTCCGATGATGTTCGTGTTAGATGATCTAACGGCGATAGGACGCGGTATCAGAAGCGCTCGCATTCTTCTGAGTTTCTTGTTTCGTGAGTTGTAGGATCCACGCGGCGAGATCGGACGGTCAACATTCTTCCACCAACACGGACCCAAGTTCACTGACACCATTTTATATTATTTTTGGGAATTCTGTCATTTAACGAAGGGCAAAAAGGTAAATTTGTTTTCATCTTCCTCATGGATACACACGATTCTCTGCAACCCTAAAAACCAACCACCGCTTGTTTTTATTTTTACTTTTGGCCGACTTTGTAAAATAACGATTTTCCAACTGACTCCAACCGTTTTAACTGAAACAATCGGGTTTGATAACCCGTTCGGGTCGGGTTTACCCGATTCAACCAGGCTATATAACCCGACTTCAATCCCCAAAAACAAATCAGTTTCTTCAATTCCTAAATCAGATACTAAATCAGAGAAAGAAACCCTAGTTTTTCGTTCGTTTCCTCGACGATTCTGCGATGGATGCTGCTTCCAAATCCTCCCCGGATCCCTCCTCCTCCGATCACTCCGCAATTGTCTCCCCCGACTCAGAGAAGCTCCCAACGCTTGAGCAGATGATCGCGGAGGTCTCTGAGCTGGATGACCACGAAGATGACGGCGGCGCTGCCAAAAACTACATCGACGACGGTGAAAAGAAGCAGGAGCCAGCGCTGCAAGATGAGGCTGAAGAGATGATGTATCGCCTCGAGCTCACCATGACGATGACCGAAGATATCAGCGACTACAACGTCAAAGCCCTGTCGAGAGCGATGAAGGCCATTGAGGAAGCCGTGAAGAATTTGAGGAAGCGCTTGGAGTCCGCTGAAATCTTAATCGAGAAGATTGAGAAGTCGGTGTTCCCCTGAGCCGCCGTATTCCCGTGAGTCATCATCTTTCATCTTTCTTAGATACTGATGTGAATGAGTCGTTGTTGTACTTAGGGATGAAATCGAGATGAAATCGAGAGAGAATGTAGAGGTTTGAGTAGTGAATGAGTCGTCGAGAGAGAATGTAGAGGTTTGAGTACTGTTGCATTTGTGTGGTTGAGTCTTTTTGTTGATTTTGTATATAAGTCGATAGTGTGTTCTTTGCTTCTTACTTGTTGAAAGAAAGAAACGTTTTTAGGGATTGTAAAGATTTGATCTGATATGCGAATGAGAAGATTGTAATAAAGATGAGAGCTTTTTGAAAAGTCTCAAGTAAAAGAGGTCTTAAAGCTTTTTCAGTTCAAAAAGTCTTCAACACAAGTAGTGTCGTCTTCCTTCTTGGAATTTTCTTCAGGAACAATCGTGTATACTCCTCTTCGATGGTTTAGCTTCACTAATGTCAGTTTTGCATCAAGCATTATCTTTATCCACTTATGCAGCTCCTTCGGCGTCCTGTGTGTTCGTTCATCAAAAGCTTTGTTAGATTCAGTGGTTGTTGTGGTGGGTAAAAACATGAAACAGAGATTACTCACGTGTATAAAGCTTTAGGGTCCTTAGCTTGGTGGTCATCGCCAGGAGAGAATGCAGTAGCTAGAGCAGAGAATCGTTCTTCAGGGTCTGTAATGTTGAGCAAGTACTTGAGAAGTTTGATTTCTTTGGGAGTGATGCTTCTAAGGCCGCTCTTTGTAGCTTTGATTTGTGAATGAGAAGATTGTGAAGAACAGAGCTTTTTTGTGTTTGGTGATATGTTGTGTACCTCGTTTGTAACGGTTTGAGAGTCTTTAGCAGCAGCATAAGCAGAGTTTATTAGCAAGATCAATGAGGAATCAAGCTTCTTGGTCTTTGCGAGGCTTCTGATCTTGTCACAAGCGACGTCCACGGAAGAAGAGTTTAAGATATCATCAAACTTAGCTTGAGCAGCATCTAGAGTCTCAACAGTCTCCAAGGTATTGTCATAAGCACTCACAGCAGATAAAAATCTAGCTGAAAGCCTTGCAACACCTGCTCAAACAAGAACTGAACAGTCATGAAACTGAGAGGGAATCAAATATAAAGCAAACACAGCAGTGGTATTAGTGTTTTTGAGTACCATCTCTGTCTTCTAAGCCATCAAGAGTCTCTGATAACAACGCGACATATCGGAAAAACTCTCCAGTGAAGTCTCTGCGTCTCTTGTCAGCTATTGCGTTTAAGTCTGTTGGGTTTTCTTGAATCTCCTTCAAAAGGTCGTTGTGCTTCTCCATTTCCTCATCTATCTGCAACAATCTCTCTCTCTCTCTCTCTCTCTCTCTCTCTCTCTCTCTCAAAGTACACAAACCAGTGATCTTATAAAACCCCTAAGATACAAACAACACTATGAAAACAATACCTTCTTTACTTTACTTTGCAGAGAAATCAGTTTCTGTATCAGCAACGCTTGTAGAAGTTAACACTGTACTTGTTCCACTCATCTCTTAAAACCAAGTACTTCTTCCATTGTTTAACTTTAGGCTTCTCATTCAGGAAAATATCAATGATCTTGTCACAGAACTGAGCCATAGTACAGCCTTCAGCAACCTCAACCTCCATAGGATCCTCCACAGATTTTTTCACTTCCGCACCTAAAAACAACATTTTCGTCTTCATCAAAAATCTTCTGTAAGTAGACTACATTCGACTTTGTGATAAAAAAAAACAACAATTTTGTTCCAAAGCTTCAAAATTTAACAATTCAGCAAGTATTTACAGATTTCGTAAATGTTTTTACGTTTTAGCTATCTCTACAAAACCCCTTAACGAAATGGCGACCAATAAATTAAAATTGGATGGTAAAGGAAAGGACTTTCTGGGTAACTAAGCAGAAAGATGAGCTTACTTGACAACATGAGAACGTTTGGGGCAAAACTGTAAAAACAAATAATATTTGCATCTTTTAAAAATTTTGAGAAAAGGATACTACTACATGAACATGAACAAGCCCAATAAAGGACACTGTGTTTTGGTTACTACAGTTATGTGAAGAAAGACTTGAAATTTTTTTACGATAAACTCATATACAAAGTATCACCATATATTTAGATAATTCTTGATTGTACATAATTTTTTATATATAAAGAGTTGTTTCACTAAGCCTGCTCTTGAGGCTGGCCATCTCCACCACCACCTTCAATGTTACTGGTATTGAATTGAACACGAGGCTTTCCCATACTGAAATTAAGAACTCTTGCATCCATATTGTATTGAATCTCTCCATCAAACAACATCTTCCTTATATAATGTTCTACGTCCGACCCTATCAATCTTAATGTATACTCCGTTAATGGTGCTCCCTGTCCAATACAACAATACAAAAACAAATAAATATGTGCTTCAATGTGTAATTGCTTATCGAAATTGGTATTTATCTATGGTGGGAAAATCCTCAAGAAGAAATAATTCTACATAATTAAGGCTAGCTTTTATATGGAACTTTTAGACAAAGGACGAAGAGGATAAATTAACCTGCAGATTCTTTTCTCACAGCATTTTCAAGTTGTGATCAAAGCAGAGCACAAACCAACCAAAGCGCAGAATCTCATGTAAGCAATCATTAATTTGATCTAGAGAATATCTAATCTACCTAATGAGAAGTGATGCCGTCCGAACTTATATAGTTATATCCCTTGGATTTTGTGCCGACTTTTGGACTCGAAGACTTTATCTCAACCAAGATTTCTTCAGATTCGGTCACCGACGATGAAGATTTGCCAGAATTTTAATGGTGGAAGATTCTCATCTGTAAATGTCGGGAAGATATCATAGGAGGAAGACGAAGAAATCAAGCTCCAAAAATAAGGTCCAACAATAAACTGATGTGTATCAATAAAATATTTTGATTGGATGATTTTTTTTTAACGAGGTGTCACTTTCTGACAACACCAAAAAGCTGATGTGTACATTGTGTTTTTGTTGTATTGATTTTCTGAAATCGAAGGATTGAGCGGCGTGAGTTTGTAAAAATTGAGATAATGTTCAATACTATATATTTAATAATTAATGGATTTGCCCAAACTAATCATCGATTTTATGTTTATTTTTTCAATTTCTGGAATCTTACTTTAGTAAATAATAATATGAAAGGATACATCAAAATCAAAAGTCCAATAGAATTCGGAATTTCTATAGAAGCAAAAAACAGAGTTCCTTTTCCTATTTCTCTTTGGTGTTCCGTCAATTTTAACACCCTATAAAACGAAGATAAAAAACAGATCGAAACCGTAAACAAAGATAAAAAAAGACAAGCTTCGAGTCGATGTCTTATACCGAAGAGCCGCCGCACAAGAGGAAGAAGATGGAGCTCTCTCCGTCGTCGTCTCTGTCTCTGTTATCGTCGCTGCCAGATGATGTGGCTATGAACTGCCTGGCTCGAGTCTCGAGATTGGAACATGCCTCCTTATCTGTGGCCTCCAAGAGTTATCGATCTCTAGTGGCTTCCCCTGATCTCTACAAGACCCGATCGCTCATGGGTCGCACCGAAACATACGTCTACGTCTGCTTACGAACCCCTCCTCCGAACCCATCCCCACGCTGGTATATACTCCGCCGTAGAAACGGCTCCTCCGATCTGATTTCGATCCCTTCGATCCCCTCTCAGGCTCCGGAAGCATCCTCCGTGGCGGTGCTGGATTGGGGGATCTATGTGATGGGTGGATTGATAGAGGGGAAGCCCACTTCCGATGTGTGGCTCTTAGATTGTCGGACTCACACGTGGCGCCACGTCCCCTCCATGGGAGTGGCTCGGGCTGAAGCGGCTGTTGGCGTCGTAGGCGGGAAGATTTATGTGTTAGGCGGGTGCAAGTACGATGATCGTTCGTTGAGCTGGGGAGAGGTGTTCGACCCAAAGACCCAAACTTGGGATACTCTGCCGTCGATGCCGATGCGGAGGAAACACGATCAGCATATCCACTGCAGCATGGTGAGGAAGCAAGAGATTTACGCAGTGGTTGAAACGGATAGAACCTTTTACTACTCAGCGAGTGAAGGTAAATGGGGAAGAGGGAATCGTGTTGAAGCGATAGGAAACAGAAGAGACTTTTGCATGATTGATGGTCTGCTCTACTGTATTTGTTTGGACGGGACAATCTTTTGGTGTGAGGCAGATGAGTTGGATCGGCGTGAACCAGAGGGGATGATGGTTTCAAAGCAGGTCAAGGGTTTACTGCGTCTCAAGGAGAGTCTTGTTCGTTCCAGACTCGTCCACTTTGGTGACCACTTTTTGGATCGGTGGGACCAAAATAGGATCAAGTTTGGCTTCACCCAAAGGAGTGATAAAAGCCATGAGTTGGAAGATTTACTTTCCGGGGCCAGGCTGAGCAGCTCTGGTCGGAACATGCTACTCTTCTGGGACGTCATCGAGGGTGGTCGTCTTGAGATTTGGTGTGCGGAGATCTCCTTGGAGAGACCGCGCCAAGGAGGCAATGTTTGGGGCAATATTGAGTGGTCTAGTGCTGTCATGACCCTTGATCCGTTCGTAGACCACTACAAGGTTTTGCATTCTGTTTCTGTAACTCTCTAAACTTTCTTTTTATCAACTACTTGTAATTAATAACTTGTTTGAGCTTCTCTTTTCTTATTCCGGTTCTATTACTTTGATTGATTGTTTTCATGCTCGTCTACATCTCTTTTCTTATTCCGGTTCTGTTTCTTGTCATGTATTTTAATTTTGCCGAATTATCTATGTTTCTTCTCACTTGCATCCGCTCAATTTATCGATTATTTGCTTTGCAAGTAGCTTCCCCAAGTATTTTTGCTTGTTATAGCTAAAATGGAGGTGGTGTATGGAGAGTAGAGCCGCAAATGAAAAGCTCCGAATGGACTTGGAAGCAGAACGGAGCCTCTTGGCAATCTAAAGAAGGTACATAACAAACAGCTAGTAGAAATTCAAGAGGCGAGATAATAGATAACTTCAGAGCAGGGTTTTGAATTTTGAGGAGAAAACAAGAGAAATTTATGAGTTGAAGCGAACAAACGAGCATCTACAACGTTGTCTGAGAAAAAAGTGATCCAATTTCTGCACTATCAAAGCTGAAAAAACAAGTTTTGGAATTTGGAAAACATGCACAAGAGCTGTTCAGCTGATTTAACAAGTAACGAAGCAGAATGGAGAGGTCTCCGCTGGAGATAATAGCCGAAGAGATACAATGATAGTAAGTTGCAGCTGCAAGGAAAGTAGGCAGCACTGAAAGAGGTAGGGTTGGAACTTGAAAACTGTCATCCTTCTACAGCTAAAATGAGACTACAGTATGAAGAGATCTCAGTTGTTTTTTTAGTGCTAGGTAGAACAGTCTGCAAAGCTCAGTCAAGGATGAGAAAAGAGAGAGAAAAAGCTATGATCCATTTGATTGAAATAGTAAACAAGGGTGGAAGAATACAAAGGCAACCGTATGAATGATAAGGATCTGACAGGCTAATGGGCCAACATTTGTGATAGCCCATGATATTTTCTGAAACTTTTATGCAGAGAACAAAATTGAGCGGCGTGAGTTTAATGAAAAAATGCGATAATGTTGCAAACTTTTAATGTAAATTAATGGATTTGACCAAACTAATCATCAATTCTTTTTTGTTTTTTATTTTTTTCAAAAGGGGAGTTAGATTTCGTGAATCTTACTTCTAGCTGGGATCAAGCAAGATCTTAACTTTATTCAAATATAAATTTTACATATTTAATTTGCAAATCACATCCCAACGCATAATTTTATTTATTGATGTATATGTAGGGTAGTTTTATTTTTTATTTTTATTTTTTAACTACTATTGGGGGACGTACATGCTTGTCCTAATTTACCTGGATATTTTTATACTTTATAGTGTTGCTTTTTTTTTCTAATCATATATGTATGTTTAGTATATTTTAATAATATCTTGCAAACTATAAAATTTATATTAAAAACTAATCTCATAAAACACAACTCTTTAAATGAAAAAAAATAAAAACAATAGTATAATTGATCTGGTATTAGTGTTTTCTTCAAGATTATGAAAGATGATCTAAAACATGATGATCAATAAGAGATAGCAAAAATTCCTATTTTGAGTTATCTGAGCAATAAGCTTTAAGAAATTAGGCGTAATTTTATTTTCCCTAACTAAGGAAAAGCATCGAAACCACGTAAGAACGCTTCACCTGGACTCAAGCCGCCGTACTGCTGCACCAACAAAAGCTCGAGCTGACGTCAGCATTCGCTCAGCTCCTGAGCAATCATAGGCTTGCTTCGATCAGTCGCGGAGACTCTGCCACGGCTCGTGTGCTGACGTGGGGGTTTCTAAACCTTCCGATGATGTTCGTGTTAGATGATCTAACGGCGATAGGACGCGGTATCAGAAGCGCTCGCATTCTTCTGAGTTTCTTGTTTCGTGAGTTGTAGGATCCACGCGGCGAGATCGGACGGTCAACATTCTTCCACCAACACGGACCCAAGTTCACTGACACCATTTTATATTATTTTTGGGAATTCTGTCATTTAACGAAGGGCAAAAAGGTAAATTTGTTTTCATCTTCCTCATGGATACACACGATTCTCTGCAACCCTAAAAACCAACCACCGCTTGTTTTTATTTTTACTTTTGGCCGACTTTGTAAAATAACGATTTTCCAACTGACTCCAACCGTTTTAACTGAAACAATCGGGTTTGATAACCCGTTCGGGTCGGGTTTACCCGATTCAACCAGGCTATATAACCCGACTTCAATCCCCAAAAACAAATCAGTTTCTTCAATTCCTAAATCAGATACTAAATCAGAGAAAGAAACCCTAGTTTTTCGTTCGTTTCCTCGACGATTCTGCGATGGATGCTGCTTCCAAATCCTCCCCGGATCCCTCCTCCTCCGATCACTCCGCAATTGTCTCCCCCGACTCAGAGAAGCTCCCAACGCTTGAGCAGATGATCGCGGAGGTCTCTGAGCTGGATGACCACGAAGATGACGGCGGCGCTGCCAAAAACTACATCGACGACGGTGAAAAGAAGCAGGAGCCAGCGCTGCAAGATGAGGCTGAAGAGATGATGTATCGCCTCGAGCTCACCATGACGATGACCGAAGATATCAGCGACTACAACGTCAAAGCCCTGTCGAGAGCGATGAAGGCCATTGAGGAAGCCGTGAAGAATTTGAGGAAGCGCTTGGAGTCCGCTGAAATCTTAATCGAGAAGATTGAGAAGTCGGTGTTCCCCTGAGCCGCCGTATTCCCGTGAGTCATCATCTTTCATCTTTCTTAGATACTGATGTGAATGAGTCGTTGTTGTACTTAGGGATGAAATCGAGATGAAATCGAGAGAGAATGTAGAGGTTTGAGTAGTGAATGAGTCGTCGAGAGAGAATGTAGAGGTTTGAGTACTGTTGCATTTGTGTGGTTGAGTCTTTTTGTTGATTTTGTATATAAGTCGATAGTGTGTTCTTTGCTTCTTACTTGTTGAAAGAAAGAAACGTTTTTAGGGATTGTAAAGATTTGATCTGATATGCGAATGAGAAGATTGTAATAAAGATGAGAGCTTTTTGAAAAGTCTCAAGTAAAAGAGGTCTTAAAGCTTTTTCAGTTCAAAAAGTCTTCAACACAAGTAGTGTCGTCTTCCTTCTTGGAATTTTCTTCAGGAACAATCGTGTATACTCCTCTTCGATGGTTTAGCTTCACTAATGTCAGTTTTGCATCAAGCATTATCTTTATCCACTTATGCAGCTCCTTCGGCGTCCTGTGTGTTCGTTCATCAAAAGCTTTGTTAGATTCAGTGGTTGTTGTGGTGGGTAAAAACATGAAACAGAGATTACTCACGTGTATAAAGCTTTAGGGTCCTTAGCTTGGTGGTCATCGCCAGGAGAGAATGCAGTAGCTAGAGCAGAGAATCGTTCTTCAGGGTCTGTAATGTTGAGCAAGTACTTGAGAAGTTTGATTTCTTTGGGAGTGATGCTTCTAAGGCCGCTCTTTGTAGCTTTGATTTGTGAATGAGAAGATTGTGAAGAACAGAGCTTTTTTGTGTTTGGTGATATGTTGTGTACCTCGTTTGTAACGGTTTGAGAGTCTTTAGCAGCAGCATAAGCAGAGTTTATTAGCAAGATCAATGAGGAATCAAGCTTCTTGGTCTTTGCGAGGCTTCTGATCTTGTCACAAGCGACGTCCACGGAAGAAGAGTTTAAGATATCATCAAACTTAGCTTGAGCAGCATCTAGAGTCTCAACAGTCTCCAAGGTATTGTCATAAGCACTCACAGCAGATAAAAATCTAGCTGAAAGCCTTGCAACACCTGCTCAAACAAGAACTGAACAGTCATGAAACTGAGAGGGAATCAAATATAAAGCAAACACAGCAGTGGTATTAGTGTTTTTGAGTACCATCTCTGTCTTCTAAGCCATCAAGAGTCTCTGATAACAACGCGACATATCGGAAAAACTCTCCAGTGAAGTCTCTGCGTCTCTTGTCAGCTATTGCGTTTAAGTCTGTTGGGTTTTCTTGAATCTCCTTCAAAAGGTCGTTGTGCTTCTCCATTTCCTCATCTATCTGCAACAATCTCTCTCTCTCTCTCTCTCTCTCTCTCTCTCTCTCTCTCAAAGTACACAAACCAGTGATCTTATAAAACCCCTAAGATACAAACAACACTATGAAAACAATACCTTCTTTACTTTACTTTGCAGAGAAATCAGTTTCTGTATCAGCAACGCTTGTAGAAGTTAACACTGTACTTGTTCCACTCATCTCTTAAAACCAAGTACTTCTTCCATTGTTTAACTTTAGGCTTCTCATTCAGGAAAATATCAATGATCTTGTCACAGAACTGAGCCATAGTACAGCCTTCAGCAACCTCAACCTCCATAGGATCCTCCACAGATTTTTTCACTTCCGCACCTAAAAACAACATTTTCGTCTTCATCAAAAATCTTCTGTAAGTAGACTACATTCGACTTTGTGATAAAAAAAAACAACAATTTTGTTCCAAAGCTTCAAAATTTAACAATTCAGCAAGTATTTACAGATTTCGTAAATGTTTTTACGTTTTAGCTATCTCTACAAAACCCCTTAACGAAATGGCGACCAATAAATTAAAATTGGATGGTAAAGGAAAGGACTTTCTGGGTAACTAAGCAGAAAGATGAGCTTACTTGTGGTAGTGCCACTGTAAGTAACAGTTTCGGTAGCAAAGATGATGATACTTGAGCTTTTGCGTCTCCTTCTTCCTCCATTAATGGAAGCAGAAAAAGGGAGAAGCAAGGTTTGAGAATTGTTGGGCGGTGATGAAAGAAATAATTTATCAGGAGAAATTCAAGATGTTTAATTCAAGAAGAAAAAGGAAAAATTACCTTCAAAAAGCTGTAAATTGTTTTACAAAGTTACTTATTGGCATTGGTCTTCGTCTTAACGTTCTTGGCTAGAGACTGAATCGAGTAGATTCGTCGGCATTTTTTCGAGGAGTACATAAAAAGATACCGTAAGGAGGACTTGTGACAAGGTGCAGAAATATATCTCATTAGTTGTCCGTGTCAATTATGACAACTTATAATAAACTCATATTTAACAACATCTCTCATTAGCTTTATTTATATTATTAGATAATTAGACCATCTATTAGCATTACATTGAGTCATTGACATACTAGTATATGCATATCGCTCTTCTTTATTTGAATATAGTTAAGCTGCAACGGCATCATTTAGAGCTTCTGCTGCTACCGATGGAGCATTTTCATTGGCATGATTCTTCATCATATTACCACACGCTCCACCGCAGTTACCGCAGCCAGTGGAACCGCCAGTGCAGGACCCGCCACCGCAACCTCCGGTCTTCGTCATCCCACCACATCTTCCACCCCCTCCACCGCACCCTCCGCCATGGCCACCCCCACATCCTCCTCCACATCCACCACAACCGCCACAACCACCACAACGACCACCTTCTTCTTCAACCATGATATCACTTACTCCACCACACACAGTACCGCAGCCCCCGTTTAGCTCCTTCGAAAAGCACCTAGAACCGCCATTGATCTTCTCTGCAGCTACCACAACCGGAGTAGTCGTGTCAACATTCATCATTGTGTCTTCTTCTAACTTCAGTTGACTGAAACCTTCACTCTCCTTGCTTTCCTCTGTTACACCGTTAGCTTTCACTGTCTCTTTCGCTGCTGCACCAAACCCTTCCTTCTTAAGAACATCACCGAGTATGAAAGCAGAAACTACTCCAGGCAAAACCATCCATTTCTCATTTGCCTGCATGCATGCCGTATCAAAATAAACCTCAAGTCAGAAAGTAAACAAAATGGTGAAACTTTGAGTTTTCAAAGTTGCAAACTTTATTACCTCAAAAGATCCAAACTTCAAGTCAAGCAACCCAACAGCTTTGCCATAAGGATGTTCCTTTGAGAATTCAACAGCGGTCATGAAATCTTGCTCGCTTCTCATCTTTCCGCAATGCCTTGGCTCATACTCCAGCTTCCTTCCGGAGTAAACTTTCACCATTCGAGCACCCGAAAGCTCAAACAGAGGATTTTCGTTGCCTGTCTGCTTAAGTGACCACTTCGCATCAAGCAAAGACCAGAAATTTCCATCGTACTCCGCAAGAACAAGACTTTCACCATTCCCTTTCACGCCAATCACTTGTCTTGCATCACCTTTTGGCGCTGCGTCGTTGGAGTTCCTCATCTGGAGACTGATCAACTCTGTTTCGGTTTCATCAACAACGCGTGTGAAACCCTTAGCAAGACGAGACTTTCCGATCATAGGAAAGAAACAAGAGTCTTTCAGCGAAGGTCTTGACTGAACCAAATGTAGAACAGTCGGACTCCGAGTCGGCGTTGTGAAGGAGACAGCGACTCGCAGAGAGATTTGATTCTTGTTTTCACTCTTACCTGGTGGTGTTAACTCAAGCCACTTCTCAACAGAGAGCTTAGTAACAGGAAACAGAAACTCCGAAAGTGACAAAGAAGTGAAACCTAAGCTCTTAGACTTAGAAGAAGAAGAAGACATTAGCTGGAAACTAAGCTCTCCTGTAGGCTCACACTGGAACAAAGCAACTTGCTTTTCTCCATCAGACTCAGACAAAACCGTAAGCTTACGCTCAGCGTTAAACAGAGAATCAGGCTGAGTTTTGCTGAACACAACAAAGACTTTTCCTTTGTGAGCTTCCGGTAAGTTCTTGACCGCAACAATCTCCAAGATAACCTCAATGGCTTTCACCTCTGGAAACTGGATTATATTCTGAGACTCGTCCTCTTTCGCAGCTGATTTCTTGGTTGAAGAGACATAAGGAGAGGTTGTGACTGGCTTTGGGGTATCACCACGATTCATAGCACCAGCTTTCCAGTACCTCCGACCAAATGTTTCTTCCCATTGAGCAGTGGTTCCAGAGAAACCAGTGTCAAGCTTCTTACCTTTGCTTCTGTCAGAGTCTGTGTCGTCATGCTCAAGAACCTTACCAATCATCTTCGTCAAGTCTTTGCAGTAAGAGAGAGCGTGAAGCTGGTGCGTGTGCCAAAGAAGATCAATGTCGTAAGTAGGAACACAGAAAAGCTTGATAGACCTTTCTCTGTTTCTCTTGATCAAGTAGAGAAACGCCTTGTATCTAGCAACAGCTTCTTGCAGAAAGACTTCATTGTGAACATGGTCTCTTGAAACTTGGTAGTAAAACGGTGTTTGTCTCTTGACAGCTGAGACAAGATCATAAGTGGTGCATTTCTCAAGAGCTGACATGTTCTCTGCTTTGGAGATTGGCTTGTCCAAATCAAGATGATAAGGCTCCGTAGGGTACAGTGTCTTCCATAGGTTTTGAGTTTGTTGGTTGGAGTTTCCATTTACGGAAGATGCAACACAAGAGTTGTCCAAGACTCTTCCGTAGAGCTCCTCACAATCAGTCTTGTACCTCACCTGAAATGATTCACAACAACATTTTGAGCCTTGTGTGCCAAACAAAGAATTTAACCGGATTTGAAATGTATCGGTTTAAGATTTTTACCGGGTTAAGCCTGTGGCAGTGCCAAACCCATTCACAGTCAAGAGGAGGGACTAATGGTCCTTCGCAGATGGAAGAAGACTCAGTGTATTTTGCAAGCAAAGGAAGCCAATAAGCATTGTATCTGAAAAAAAAATGAAATCACCAAATTACCTAAATTTTGAGAGTTTTTGATGCAAGAAAGACCAGATTTTTACCTGAAGATGGCTCTTTGGAGAGCAGGGCCGTCGTAGAGGCAACGGTTCTGATCAACAGCTCCGAGGAAGTGAAGATGTTTCTTGGCTGCAGCAATGAGGTCAACGCTTATCTCTGTCTTCTGGGCTTCGAGCCACTCCAGTTTTTGCTCCATCTCTTACAAGTCTTTTGGAAACTTTCACCTGCAAAAATACGGATTATATGAATAAGTCTAACAATATAAACAACTCAAAGTTTTGGTCTTTAGTATTTTCTTATCTTGCAAGAAGAACACGCATTTGAAAAAGTATGAATAAGAGAAGAATCAAAGTATACCGCAGGGAAACTTCTTTGATGATGAAAGCTGACTCGAATTTGAGAAAGACTACTTGAATTACCGCTTTTTATAGTAGTTTTTGGCTTTCTTCGAGACGTCACTACCTTTTTCAATTACTAAGCAAAATGTCAAAGGTGGGAAATTACGTGAGAAGATCAGATAATCGAGCTTTGGAGGAACAGAAAGCATGTCCATAATTTGCTGACATTTTCGCCACTTTTCAAAGTTTAAGCTCCACAAGTAATTGAATCTGAGCCTTAAAAAACGACAACGCCTACAACATGACCAAGTCTTTTACTTTTCTTTGCATTTAAGCTAATATACAATAAATCATTTTTAATTCCATCGCATAACAAAAACAATTCCTAAAATTTGTTAATATCAAAGAGATTTTGTATAAGGTAAAAACAATTAAATTGTGATCCCCTCAGATAAAGTACGAAACGACCTAAACCGGTCAAGATAATAACCGTGAATTTTCATGCAACAAACCAAAAAGAAAAAAGAGAAACCAAGAACTACATCCAATAATGTGAATGGGTATCAATGAGACTCAAGAATTACCTCCCCAAAAGACGGTTTTAAATACACAAAACTAATCAAATTTTATGAGAGGGATTAAGCGTTGTAAAACTTATTTGGAAACAAAACCCGAATTCAATTCATACCGGTTAAGCAACCGACCTCACTTCCTTGAACCGGTGGCCTCTTCGAACTCAGCTTCAGGCGTCTGCTCAGTCCCGCTTGAGCCCTCACCAGTAGGGCCTGAGTCACCACCAGAGGATCCTGATCCCTTAGACATGTGTTCTCCGATCTTTGACACTGCCTTGTTCGCAGCTTCAAGCTTAGCCTTGATGTCCTCGATATCATCACCAGCCATTGCTGTCCTGAGATCAGACACTGCAGTCTCGATCTCAGAGGCAATCTCAGCTGTAATCTTCTCTCTGTACTCGCTCAAGCTCTTCTCAACACTGTAGATTGTGGTATCAGCGCTGTTCCTGATGTCGATAAGCTGCTTCTTCTCTTGATCCTTCTGCGAGTTAAGCTCAGCTTCTTTCACCATTCTGTTGATCTCATCGTCTGAGAGACCACCTGAAGATCTGATTGTGATCTGTTGCTCTTTAGATGTGGCCTTGTCTTTGGCTGAGACGGTCACGATACCATTAGCGTCAATGTCGAATGTAACTTCGATCTGTGGCATTCCTCTCGGCGCTGGTGGGATCCCAACGAGGTCAAACTCTCCGAGCATTTTGTTGTCAGCGGCCATTTCACGCTCTCCCTGAAGAACCTTGATTCCCACTTGCATCTGGTTGTCTGCAGCTGTGGAGAAGACCTAAGAAGCAAATCTTAAATCAGCAACCAATAGATTTAAGATAAAACGAAATGAAAATGTTATCTTTGTCAAGATGCATCATTACCTGAGACTTCTTTGTGGGAATGGTGGTGTTACGGTTGATCAACCTAGTGAAGATACCACCAAGTGTTTCGATACCGAGAGAAAGAGGAGTCACATCCAACAGAAGTAGCTCCTTGACATCACCACGGAGGATACCACCTTGAATAGCAGCTCCCATGGCAACAGCTTCGTCAGGGTTAACACCTTTGCAAGGGCTCTTTCCAAAGATCTCAGAGACGATCTCTTGCACTTTGGGAACACGGGTCATTCCACCGACAAGAAGAACCTCATCGACTTCCTTGATAGTGATTCCGGCATCCTTGAGACAGTTTTGGCACGGGCATCTTGTTCTCTCAATCAGCTTGCCGACCAAAGCTTCGAACTTGGACCTAGTCAAGGTGATGTTCAAGTGCTTCGCTCCGGAGGCATCTGCGGTGATGAAAGGCAGGTTGATTTCCGTCTGAGATGTGGAGGAAAGCTCGATCTTTGCCTTCTCCGCAGCTTCCCTCAGCCTCTGGAGTGCGAGCTTGTCCTTGGTCAGATCAATGTTGTCTGTTCTCTTGAACTCATCAACCAAATACTCCAACAAAGTGTTGTCAAAGTCTTCTCCTCCCAAAAAGGTATCTCCATTTGTTGCTTTAACCTAACAAAGAGAAAACAATCATACAACCACCAATGAAAAGAGCAAATCATGAAGAAGAAGAAAAGACATAAACAAAACAAGCCAATACCTCAAAAACACCACTTGAGATTTCAAGGATAGAAACATCAAAGGTTCCACCTCCAAGATCGAACACTGCAATAACACCTTCCTTGTTGTTCATCCCATATGACAACGCAGCAGCGGTTGGCTCGTTGATGATCCTCTGAACATCAAGACCAGCGATTTTCCCAGCATCCTTTGTGGCTTGCCTCTGAGCATCATTGAAGTAAGCTGGAACAGTAACAACGGCTTTGGTGATGGTTTTCCCGAGGTATGCTTCAGCGGTTTCCTTCATCTTGGTGAGAACATTAGCTCCAATCTGACTGGGAGAAAACTTCTGCCCGTTTGCTTCGACCCAAGCATCACCGTTTGGTGCCTTGACAATCTTGTAAGGAACCATTTTCATCTCCTTCTGCGTCTGGGGATCCTCATAACGTCTCCCAATCAAACGTTTGCTACCGAAGATGGTGTTTGCTGGATTCGTCACCGCCTGACGTTTAGCCGGAGTTCCAACAAGAAGCTCTCCCTTTTGGTTGATAGCAACCACTGATGGTGTTGTTCTAGTTCCTTCAGAATTCTCAATAACTCTAGGGGTCTGCGTAAACGAGATCAAAGTCCACAATTCAGATTTCTCAATAAACTGATATCAGGATTGAACAACAAGGAAAAAAAAAGAATTTTTACCTTTCCTTCCATCACCGAGACACAAGAATTGGTGGTACCCAAATCAATACCGATAACATCATTTCCCACAGGTCTCGAGCTGCGTTTACAGAGCAACACACAATACGAAATGATGAGAAACAGACTCAAAGGGAGATACTTGTTCATGCGAAACCATAAAGTGAGAGGTTTTAGTTACCAGAAAGGCCTCGCCAAGTGACCCAATTTCCCAATCAGAGAAGTCTTTCCATTTGCAGAAATCTGCAAATTCAACGATACCAACAGTGTCAGGAGACTCGATAAAACCTCAGCTGAAGAAATGTAAATCAACAAAGAACAAAGTAGGTCGCTTCACAGAAGAATCAGAATTAACCAAAACTACGCCACGTTTTAAGAAATCCAGATCGGAGACTTTCAAAACTCCATTCTAATACAGCATGGAAAAAACCCAGATTCGATCCATCGGATAATTTAAAACCCTAACTCATTTCGGAATAGTACTATCGATTACAGATCCAGAAAACCCCAAACGTGATTTCTCAAGCAAACACTAAGATCGGGAGAAATTACATACGGATTTAAACGCAGAGACGGAAGCCGTCTGGAGCTCACGGCAGCGAAGAGACCGTCGAAGCACGAAGGAGGCCATTTTGGTTTGGAGAGAGTCGGTGGAGGAAGGGTTTATGCTCCGAGATAGGACAGAAATGAAAGGCTGCGTGTAGGGTTTAAGAGATTTATAGCGACAAAAATTCGTGGGCTACAAGTCAATCTGACATTTCCTTATAACTAATATGGGCCCTACATGGGCTTAGTGACTACGTAGCCCAAACCGAAACCATGAGATCTTTTCCAAAATGTTAAATTTATATAAATAGACCTCATAGTTTGTCGTCGTTGCAGATATAGCTGCGAATTCTACAAAATTACTCTCCCCCCCCCAAAAATAACAGATTTCAGTTTCAGTTCAAAAAATCTTCAACAGAAGTAGTATCGTCTTCTTCCTTCTTCGGATTTTCGTCGGGAACAAGGGCTTTCTTGTCTAGATACTCCTCTTCGATCGTCTCCTTGAGGACGAAAAGCCGCTGGATAACGATTGGTAGTGTCGTCTTCCTTCTTGGAATTTTCTTCAGGAACAATCGTGTATACTCCTCTTCGATGGTTTAGCTTCACTAATGTCAGTTTTGCATCAAGCATTATCTTTATCCACTTATGCAGCTCCTTCGGCGTCCTGTGTGTTCGTTCATCAAAAGCTTTGTTAGATTCAGTGGTTGTTGTGGTGGGTAAAAACATGAAACAGAGATTACTCACGTGTATAAAGCTTTAGGGTCCTTAGCTTGGTGGTCATCGCCAGGAGAGAATGCAGTAGCTAGAGCAGAGAATCGTTCTTCAGGGTCTGTAATGTTGAGCAAGTACTTGAGAAGTTTGATTTCTTTGGGAGTGATGCTTCTAAGGCCGCTCTTTGTAGCTTTGATTTGTGAATGAGAAGATTGTGAAGAACAGAGCTTTTTTGTGTTTGGTGATATGTTGTGTACCTCGTTTGTAACGGTTTGAGAGTCTTTAGCAGCAGCATAAGCAGAGTTTATTAGCAAGATCAATGAGGAATCAAGCTTCTTGGTCTTTGCGAGGCTTCTGATCTTGTCACAAGCGACGTCCACGGAAGAAGAGTTTAAGATATCATCAAACTTAGCTTGAGCAGCATCTAGAGTCTCAACAGTCTCCAAGGTATTGTCATAAGCACTCACAGCAGATAAAAATCTAGCTGAAAGCCTTGCAACACCTGCTCAAACAAGAACTGAACAGTCATGAAACTGAGAGGGAATCAAATATAAAGCAAACACAGCAGTGGTATTAGTGTTTTTGAGTACCATCTCTGTCTTCTAAGCCATCAAGAGTCTCTGATAACAACGCGACATATCGGAAAAACTCTCCAGTGAAGTCTCTGCGTCTCTTGTCAGCTATTGCGTTTAAGTCTGTTGGGTTTTCTTGAATCTCCTTCAAAAGGTCGTTGTGCTTCTCCATTTCCTCATCTATCTGCAACAATCTCTCTCTCTCTCTCTCTCTCTCTCTCTCTCTCTCTCTCAAAGTACACAAACCAGTGATCTTATAAAACCCCTAAGATACAAACAACACTATGAAAACAATACCTTCTTTACTTTACTTTGCAGAGAAATCAGTTTCTGTATCAGCAACGCTTGTAGAAGTTAACACTGTACTTGTTCCACTCATCTCTTAAAACCAAGTACTTCTTCCATTGTTTAACTTTAGGCTTCTCATTCAGGAAAATATCAATGATCTTGTCACAGAACTGAGCCATAGTACAGCCTTCAGCAACCTCAACCTCCATAGGATCCTCAACAGATTCTTTCACTTCAGCACCTATAAGAACATTTTTATCTTCATTAGACTAAAATTTTGACTCTTTTAAAAATTCCAATTTGTTCCAAAGCTTAAGAATCAAACAATTCAGCAAGTGATACAGATTTCATAGAAGTTTTTAAGCTTTTTCTACAGAACCCTTTAACGAAATGGCGACCAGTAATTCGAATTGGAACCTAAAGGAAAGGACTTTCTTGGTAATTGAACAGAAAGATGAGCTTACTTGTGGTAGAGCTACTGTAAGTACAAGTTTCGGAAGCAAAGATGATACTTGAGCTTTTGCGTCTTCTTCTTCCTCCATTGATGGAAGCAGAGAAAGGTAGAAGAAAGGTTTGAGAATTATTGGGCGGTAATGACAGAAATAATTTATCAGGCGAAGAGAAGAAGATTGATGTTTCCAGTATATTCGCCATTTTCTCCCTCGCTTGGAAGGAATTTTGTTCGTCTTTGTGGACTGGACGACGAGAAACACTCTACAGTCTAGCCGATAAGAAGAACAGGGTTATCTTTGTAAATAATTAGGAAATTTAGGCAAATCCGAGAAATAAGTAAGATTTCATAAGTAACATTCAACAAGTGTCAATATGTGTGAACGTGAGGGGCGTAAATGTAAAAACTAACAATATTTGTATCATTTTGAAAATTAAGAAAGAAAGGGTAACATATGAACATAACATGGATGAACAAGCCCAAAAAGGACACAAAGTCTAATGTATTGACATCACATATTAGACCTTTGGACCTTACATCAACATGTTGAGACAAAGATACTTAGATTGGTTACTAGTTACCACTTACTACAGCTATGTGAAGAAAGATTTGAATTTTTAGATATTCCATAAACCCATATACAAAGTATCATCTAATATTTAGATCATTCTTGTTGTACATAAATTATTTTGATATAAAGATTTGTTTCACTCTGCCTGCTCTTGAGGCTGGCCATCTCCACCACCACCACCACCAATGTTACTGGTATTGAACTGAACACGAGGCTTTCCCATACTGAAATTAAGAACTCTTGCATCCATATTGTATTGAATCTCTCCATCAAACAACATCTTCCTTATGTAATGTTCTACGTCCGATCCTATCAATCTTAATGTATACTCCGTTAATGGTGCTCCCTGTCCAATACATGAACAAACAAATAGTATCTCTTTCCAGTCCAAAGATCTAAAACCATGTTCTTGGATAAGAGAAACAGAAGTTATTACCTCGTAGTGATCAACAAGTTCTTGAAAATAAGAATAAACCTTGTTACAGCTTTCATCATCCCACACAAACTCTTCCGTAGGATCAAGAATCAAAGTGAGTTTATCCATCTGCGTCTGGTCAAACTCACAAGTCTCTGGATCGATATAAGCTGCGTAAATCCTCACGTGACGTGTCACACTGCTTAGCCACTCACCACCAAACTCTCTAGGCATGCCTGTGCTCTTCACGTTCGACTGTTTCTCCACCGGTCTCAATGGCGTTGGCTGCTTCTTCATCTGCTTCTCTGGTGACTGCTCTTCTTTGATTGTCTCTGTTTCTTGTTCCTCTAGTGTACTGCCTTGTTCAGGATTTGTCACCACGAACGCCTTCTGTGTTGTTCTAATTGGTCGGATTTGAGCTGCCATGGGAGGATGTAACAGAGAAAGCTTAGTGCAAGCAGTGTAAGAGAATGATGCAACCATTTTTTGAGTTTGTCTGAAAAATGAGAAGAGATCAAGTTGTTACAGAACCATACTCTGTAAAGAGATTTGATGAGGTTGAGAAATGACCACAGCTTATGGATGAGATTCTCCCAAAGTTCAGTCTTTTTGTTTTCTTGGTGTTTTGTGGTTAATCTTGAGAGCCAACACAATCTTCTTTTAGGAGTTTACTGCTTTACTGTTGTTTTGTTAAACTTGTCTTTAGCTTTCATATGATAAAACAGAGAAAGATTCTGAGGAGAGATTTGAATAGAAGAAAGCTCATTATTTTCCACCATAGCGTAAAATAGAGTTTTACAAGTATCATCTATACAATCCATGGAACTTGAAAGCATAAACAGAGTGAAAACATTTTAGTTCTTGTACTTCATGGTTTCTTTCTCAAACCCAATTGTTGGGAACTGCTTAGCGAATTCCTCGACTTCATGGCGCAGCTTCCCAATCTCAGATTGAATGGCTGAAGAAGATTCCATTGCTGTCACAAAATCCTTCAGCTTGGTTCCTGGTTTTGTAGAACATTCACAAATGAGTTATATAATCAATCATTGTTTGTAAGAACACATAGAATCGACGATCAGAGAAATGAAGAACAACCTTGAGCTTCAGATTTGACTTGGAGAGCCAACTTCACAGCTTTGTCAAAGTATTCAGCTACTTTGGCAAAGTCTTCCTCAACAAAGCCTCTGGAAGTGAGAGCAGGTGTGCCCATTCTGATTCCACCAGGAACCATTGCAGAAACATCACCAGGGACAGTGTTTTTGTTTGATGCAATGTGGACAGCTTCCAACACTTTCTCAACTCTAGATCCATCAATTCCCTGCAATCAAAAAATGGGATTAGAAGTGTGGATAGTTTTAACTAAAGAAATAAGTATACAGAAAAGGATAGATCAAGTGACCTTGCTCTTCAGATTCACTAGAACCAGATGGTTGTCAGTTCCACCAGAAACAAGTTCATACCCTAACTCCATCAGAGTCTGCACCAAACAACAAATGATACTCTTTAGAGATATAATCAAAAAGTGAAAAATAAAAATGAAAATTTGATATTCAAGCGAATAGCACCTGAGCAAACTTTGCAGAGTTACTCAGGACTTGCTCTTGGTATGCTTTGTACTCTGAAGTAGTTGCCTGCATTTAACACAAAATTGTATTAAAGAAACCACAAAACCAATGACCAAAGTTAGTTACTTCCATTCAGTGCCTTCACTTTACCTGTTTCAAAGCAACAGCTAGTCCTGTGATAGTGTGGTTGTGAGGACCACCTTGAAGACCAGGGAAGACAGCTTGATTGATCTTGTCTTCAAAATCATACAACACCTTTCAAGACAACAAATGGATGATATCAAAAGACTGTACATAAATCTTAAAAAACATTTGTCCAGATTTTGTGTTCTTCTTTTACCTCTTTCCCTTGTTTGTTAACTTCCTTAACACCCTTTCTGAAAAAAATCATGGCTCCACGAGGTCCACGAAGCGACTTGTGAGTTGTGGTGGTTACAACATCTGCATATTCGAACGGTGAAGGGATAACACCAGCAGCAACCAAACCACTTATGTGTGCCATATCTGCTAGCATTACAGCTTTTTGCTTGTTACACACCTGCCACAAAGAGTTTGAATCAAAACTCTTGATTTACAATAATCTCTTTGTGTGTGTGTTTAGATTTGGATATAAGATTGGAAATTACCTTCCGGATGCGGGCATAGTCATACAAACGAGCATACGCACTTGCACCAGCAACAATCAATTTTGGCCTGAAAAGAGTAGCACTTTTCTCCATCTGCAGAGATCAAGATAAACAAGTTAGGTAATGTAAACAAGAACAAACTATAGGATGCTTAGTCGAAGAATCAAGAACCTGATCATAGTCGATGTAGCCAGTGCTCTCGTCCAAACGATAAGGCATTGTTTCAAAGAAAATAGACACAGCAGATATCTTCTTGGTATCAGTCTGATAACCATGAGAAAGATGACCACCGTGAGGCAGATCAAGCGCCATGATTCTCTCATGAGGCTTTAACAGTGCAGTGTAGACATGGAAGTTGGCTGGAGATCCAGACAAAGGCTGCACATTCACTGTAACCACAGGACAAGACTCAGAATAAGACATCAAAACAGAGGAACTAGATAAGTCAGATTTCTTGCTTCCTAATTACCTCCCCACTTCTCAGGGTCTAACCGGAAAGCTTCAAGAGCTCGCTTCTGGCATAAGGTTTCGGCCATGTCTATGTACCTTCAAAGCAAAAAGGCTCTTCAAGTTAGCATCTTTTTACAGAGATTTGGTCAAGCAATCATGTCTATGACTGGAAATGAAAGACTGAAAATTTCTTGAACATACTCATTTCCTCCGTAGTATCTGGCACCAGGATAACCTTCACTGTATTTGTTAGTCATCACAGAGCCAACAGCTTGCATCACCGAGACAGATGTGAAATTCTCAGATGGAATGAGCTCAAGTCCCTTGATAAACATAAGTATTAACAATTATCACTCAAAAAGGTACAAGCTTTAACAGAGAATAATCCAAAATCTGAGATTTTTCGTAGTAAAGAGAGAGAGAGACTAACCTTCCATTGTCTAGCTTTCTCATGTTCAATGATGTCAGCAATCTCAGGGTCGACCTCCTCTAAAGGTGCGTTAAGCTGTTTTGGCCACTGTGTCGAGAGATTACACACACACACATGGGTTTCATAAGATTTCAGACCCAAAAATGGAAACTTGTACATCAATTTGAAACAGACGCATAACTTGAGTAACCAAAATCCTTGCTTTAACCGCAAGCAATCTAGACAAAAGCGACAAGAGACATGAAAAGAGTGGGATTTTATAAGGAGAATAAAAGAGAAATGAATCTCACAGTGACACGATTGTCATCGACAGCTTCACTGGGCAAAGACGACTGTAGGAAACAACATCAGAAATTAGAAACCCAAAATGATTGAAATTCGATCCGATGAGAAAATTTAGAAGGAGGGAACATGGGCGTTACCATGTAGCATGAAGTGGATCTGATAAGAGGACGAATGGGTTTGTCAATTGAAGAAGAAAGTCTCCGAAGAGCCATCGCCATTGCCATTTTCGCTAAACCTCTCTCTCTCTTTCTCTCTCTCTCTCTGGGAACCCTAGAAACAGATTTGAAACATGGAAGAGAGACGGAAAGAAGAACAAAAAAAATCCAATTGGGTTTATCCGCAGAAGAGATGAAGAGAGAATTGTGGCCTCTGCTTTTGGCTGAGCTTTTGGTGGTTGCAGAAAATTTTCGAAATTTTTTTTACCTCTTTCTTTTATATTTTTCTTATCGGAAAAAAGAACGAATTTTTATTTTTGGGTTTCTTGTCGTTATCTCAGGTCACACTCACACTCTCTCCCACCAAACGTTTGTGAACTGAATTCTAAATTGTGATAATTCATGACGACGACGATTTTTTTTCGTTAAAAGGCTGTTGTCAGTTTTTTTTCTTTTCTTGTGAATGGTTTCTGGTCAATAAAGTCAACGATAACCGATTTAGGTTTTTTTTTTGTTCGTCTGACATCGATTTTTGTCACCAATAACCTTTTTTCTCTCGGTTAATTAGCGAAAATCGGTGATTCAGTACTATATATGCTTGTACTACAAAAGTATAATAAACAACACCCGATTATGCTTGTATTTCAGTACTATATATGCTTTAATTATATATATATATATATATTTCAATTGACATGCACAAGAG